TGCCCTATCGAATGCCCACCAGGCTAGAAAGAGCCGAGTCAGCCGGGGGGCTTTGCCTAATCGAGCACGCTCACCTGAATCTGAGAACACGAGCCATGCCAAAAGTCGCCAGCAATACGACCGTCTTGCCTCCGTTCTAGGTCCTCAAAGTATCCTCCAATTTCCACTCGCGTATGGCTGAAACAACACTCTTTCTTGCTTCAGAGCTGTCAACTTTTTCGACAGCCATATCTGTATGGCTGTTTATTTCTGACGGGCAACCCCAAGACAAGTTGTGAGGCTCGAGCGGCCTGTCTTGAGCCGATACCGCCCGAGGACCGTGAGCCTGGCCCTGACGGTCTGACCTGACTAGGGGAGATTGGATGACATAACTGACCGCCGTGGTCCCCTAAACTCCGACCGCCCTCACAGACAGCGGCGCCATGGGCATCATGACCCATCCTTTCCGTGGAAAACGACTCCCGACAGGCGTCCCTGGATATTGCGACCAGCTGTCTATCGTTGGACCCTGCGCTGGGTTTGCTTGAAGATCAGCCAGCATCACCATCATGAATCGTCCGAGACCTCAAAAAACTCAATCCCCAAATTCCAAGTATTGAGTTTTCATCTTCCTCCTCAGGCCGGTATCCGAGAAGAGGATGAACACCGTGCCGCTCATCTCGTTGTCAACGCTGTGGTCGCTATCGAGATGAAATATTGAAAGTCCAATCAATTATCGACAACTGTATCCGCGAACCGGAGCTTTCGCGGCCTTCCCCAGAACGCACACTATCTGCCCCGTCTTCGCCGTCGATCATTGATCCCGCAGATTGGTTCAATACCTGGCTGGACGAAAGAGGAAATCAGACCATCCAAAACGGGGGTTTGCGAGAGAGAACGCAATCACGGCTCGGTCCCGATCATGAGATCGCCTGGTTCCGTTGGCGTGACCTGGAGTCTTGTCTCTAGCCATATGGTTCACTGGGTTTCTTCCCTCTTCTCATTTCCCAAGGCCCGCCTGAGCTTCTATTCTCAGCGACCTCTCTTGTCAAGGTTGCATTTGTTTCCTCGGCACTTTGAGGATCTTCCAAACAAGACAGTTGGGAGCAAGGGCCGGCCGTCTTCGCTTTCGAGCAATGTTGGTCCTCCGATGCATCTCCGTTGCCGGGCTTGCGAGCACCGGCGCCCCTTTCGCGGCGGAGAGTCCACTCCGGGAATTCAGCGACACCCGCGACTCCGCGATGGATGGCCTGCTGTTCGCATTCCTCGTTGCCCTGGTACCTACCGGAAGACAGGCCAGGTGCGTAACAGGGACCACCCCGTCCGGTGTCCTATGCTCCAACGAGTGTCTTCCACGGTGCAACCCTGACGGTGATGGCCGGGGTCGTCGCTGAAATCCCAAAGAGGAACTCAATGGCCCGACCCCTGCATCAGGGTTACCAAATCCCCGAGAGTCTCCTGTGGACAGCTGTCGAAACCGTTTTTGCCAGCGCGGCTCACCTTCAGCCACTGGTTGGTCTTCATTCAACAACAGCAGCATGCGTTGGGTCATTATTTACGAACCCCAAGTTTTGAAAGAATCAAGTTGGATATACTGATCGGGCTCCTCCCGTCAGAAGCTAAGTCGGTTGACTGCCAAGTCAATCGATCTTTCAACACCACCCTGCGATGTAAGCGGGAGGCAAGGTCAGCGTAACTCCCGCGAAGTCTATCGTACTGTTCCTTCGCGAGTCAAGATCCTGCTCAATAGCCGCGTTTAACACCCTCCTCTCTGCCAGTGGCAGTCGTGGCAGTCGGGGGTATCCCATTCATCCCATTCAGCTGATGTCAAGCTGTTAACCTCTTCATCCGAACTCTTGCAAAGGGGCGCAGAAGAAAAATCTCCTAGGCCTCCGATCCCTAGTTGTTTCGATGTCATACCCCGCCAAACATGCATAATGGACAATCCGAACTCAGCATCGCGTTCTTTATGCAAGCCCTACCGTGACGTACAGGGTGGCTGTGAAGCTCGTTCGTCGAGGAAGAAATTACCCGGCAGTTCCGCACAAATGCGATGCAGACGGCAAAATGTTGGTTGACTGACGGGTCCCTTTTTACTTCCCTCTCGGCGTGGTTATCCCCTCTCTCCCGCTGTGGGGAGAGATAGGGATATCGAGATGGCTATCATGGCCCAAGGGTGTAGCATAAAGACTGAGCGAGTTGTGAACTTATGGTAGCGATGGAAGAGCCGGCCAGTGGGGGCGGGGATGGTTCGGTTTCATGACACGAGGCTCGATGGTGTTGGTCGTGGTATCCCTCCTCCTGCTGGCCAGCTTTCTCGCTCGCGGCTTCGCTTCGGCAGACAGGGGCATCAATCTAGTTTTTTTTCCTTCCCTCCTAGGTCCTGTCTCTAGCACCAAGGCCCTACGGATACACTACCTTCGCGGGGCTCGAGGAGGTGGCTGTGAAACGGAACGCTGTTTATTTTGCTCTTGCTAGTTTGGCCAAGTGCGATCGTCAACTTGACCATGGCGATCTGCCGTAATGAAGGCGGGTACGGGTGCCCCGTGGTCCCGGCTTTTCGAGGTGCCCGTCACTGCCCTGTGTACGAATAGTAGACTGGTCTCCTGGAGAAGGGGGAAGGCTGTGTTTGAGGTGGGTTGGATGGGATTTCAGGTCAAGATGGCTTTCGGTATCGTTCATGCTTGTGGGACGAGCTTATGCTATGTTTACGGGTATATCAGGCGAGCGGGCTTTGATTCTCGGCTTTACTTTGACGTAAGAGCTGCGTGTGAGTGTTTGTCAAGACGTCAAGCTACGGGGGCCGCGGGGAGGGAGGGTTGTAGAATCGGTGAATTCGGTCCCGCTGCGTTGCCGTTGCATCCATCACATGCCTCGCAGGTTGCAACGTTCCGTCAAATTCGAACCATTTTGGAAGGGCCTTGGTTGACTTGTCTTGTTTGGTATTCTCATGCAGGTACCCGACCGTTTGTGGGTACCCTTTGAGATCCTTTGGGGAGCAACAAGTGTGATTCCTCGGCAAAATCGGGATCGTAGAGGTGGATGGACTGTAGGGTCTGTTCCAGGGGAATAAGCAACGACGGATTACGACCTCGTAAGTTTGGAAAAAGCAAAATTCGTGGTTGATTGTGAGTGCGTCTGTCTTTGATGCATTGACGTTGACGTTTTGTGGAGAGGCGTTTTTGTTCGGTGTGTAACTGTAAGACAAGGTCGTATAAGCGGTAGAGACTCGAGGAGGTGACTTGGATAGGATACGAGGTGAAGTTGCGTGTTTTTTTCTCTTCCGTGGTATCTCTCGCGATGGAACCTGCTTGTGGGATAAGGTGTGTTTCGGGTCGGAAGAGGCATGCTTGAGGAGTTTAGTTTACCTAGTTGATAGAGAATAGGAATACAGCTTTAAACCGTTCGGGGTCAAGTAACCGTTTTTTTGTTTGGTAACATGAAGGCCCGTTTCAGAGAGGCTTAGACTTGCTTGATACCCGTTGCGTAAGTGGTGTGCGGTTTGGAAGACGGGCGATTGTAGTTCCAGACGGGTGGCTTTGCAAATCGAAAACCTGTCTCGAGTTGTTTGATGTCAAGTGGGACATGGGTAATCACGGCCACGGCTCCATAATACGAGGTAGTTATGGCATGATACTCACGGGATATTGTTGGAGAATACGGTGCGGGTTAGTCTCGAGAATGATTTTGTGATAGCTGCTGACTTTCAGAGTCTGTCGTTGCGTTGAGTATGTGGAGAGATGAGGTTTGTAGTCCATGTTGGCGAATCTTGCCGCGGTGTGCCCGAATGTCGTTCCGAGTGAAGGGCCTCAATGATACTCACAGCTCAAAAGCAGGTTGTACTTGCTTCCCAGACGGTTAATCTGTCTCGGTATCTTGAATGTCGATGACGGCGGTGGTAGAAACGCCTCGGCCTGGCTGAGCAGACTGAATCACACCGCCTCGGAACATCGCCATCAGGTAACTCAACTTCAACACGTAATTTGTTATTCGGCAGACTTATAAGGACGATCCATGGAAGACGACGGAGGCGAGCGCGCTCTATGAGGAATTCGGCGGGCATGTTCTTTCCTGAGAGCTTTTCTGTTCCTGTTATTTTATGATGAACAGGATGGTGGTACTTGACGTGACCATAGTCCATATGGTATTTCTGACAAGAAGGTCTTGGTTTTTGCTGGATATATTGGCTGGCTTCTATGATGCACCTTGACGGATGTTTCCGGGGCTAGTGGTGATGGTGTTGGTTGTCGAGAGTATAGCTTCAACTCGTGTCAGATCTGTATGATACGGCAACATGTTTCCCTAGAGAGCCATCATATCACATAATATATAATTTGTGTTCTTTTCTAGGCGGTCATAGGCTAGAGGGATGGATGAGTTGCTATCGTAGCCATTTGGCAATGCTTCAGCTATTCCTTTTGGTAGATTTCAAATTACAGTTGCAAAAAATGAATCATTGTAATTCGAAAGAACCTCATGATAGCCCACCACGAGAGATTCATTACAAACCCTCCAATTAAGCGGCAATCAGGCCTAATCCAAAAATTGGTAGAGGCTGGAACAACCACTGTCTCCTTGCCATCGCCTCGCGCACGAAAGCACGAGAGCATACGTTGATGCCGTGCTACACGGTCCAAGGTGCAGCAGACTGTGTAATATTGCCCAGGATGAAGATTCCTGCACGTCGCAAACCTTTCTTGGTTCAAGTATTTTCAGATGCCAGCTTCTTGGTCGGCGAAATTCTGACCTTTCCGGTCAAGGAGTCGACGCAGAAACAACCCAGCCCCGGAAGACCAAAAACCATACCGATGTATGCCGCCGCTTTTGAACTTGAAAGCTTCCAGGAGATAGAATATCAAGATCGTGGCATCGTATATCTCGGGACCAGGTCAGATATTCTCCTCGTCACCGGTACTGACGCAAACCTAGGAGGAAATACATGAGAGTGGGTGTGAACGTAAGTACACCAACTCGGAGAATTTCGTTTTCTCGAAAGGAGTTTACCGGTTGCCACAGGATGCCAGTTTTAATGTCTACATTTGATCAAAAAGACTTCGAGTGAATACGTGTAGAATCGCTGTACTCCCATGTTTGGGCGAACACCTTCATGTCACAGTTCCTCAACATCCATCATCAAAAGTCAGAGAGAGACACCTGGCTCAGCTGTGTCATTATTATCTCTGTTCAGGATATGTATAACATGTCCAGGTCGCTCCTAGACTCTCTTGAGTAGAGTAGAGGTCGGTGACAGCGCACTCAGCCGGCACACGACTATGAACTATTCTGCATGCGCTTGAGACGCTCCTCGGCGGCCCTCGCTCTCCTCTCCCGATCGAGCTTCATCCGCATCTCAGGAGTAAGGCCCCTAGCTTCTTCTACCCTCTTCTCTTGCGCGGTCTTCGTAGACGCTATAGCCGCTAGACCACCAGACTTTGGCTTCCTGCCATCAGCCTTGGGCCCTTCGACCCGTAACCTCTCTTCCTCGGCACGCCTTCTTGCTGTCTCCTGTTCGTCCTTCTCTTTCTTATCTCTCTCGTCGCGCTTTTCAGCATCTGCCTTACTAAGAGGTGCAGGTACGCGCGCGGCCTCCCAATCCCACTTGTCCTCGCCAAGCTCCGATCGTGCGACACGGAAGGCGTCTCTTGTTGACCTGTCTCCTGCCAGTTCGAACGCGGTCTTGCCATCTTTGTTGGTGATCAGAGGCGATGCATCGCCACGTGTAATGAGGCCGAGAACTAGAGGCGCAGCATTTTGATGAGATGCCAAGTGTAGGGGTGTTGGTGAGTGGTGATTCTGGTCTGACGGCTGAAACTGGAAGTCGGGAGACACATCATTTGTCTTGAGGTAGGACAATAGGGCTGGAAGTTTCGAGCGCCGGATGAACGCCTGGATCTGTGATGTGTGTAATAGCGCAGTCTCCTCTTCTTCTGTAAGCTTCGGCTTCGTGGGCTTCGGAGCGGCAGTCTTCGCAGGAGTAGGGGTCTCGGATTTCGGTTTAATCTCGTCCTCGGGGTTGATTTCTCTGACTTTTAGTCTTGTGAGCTCGATGAAAGATCTCATCAACTCGTTCTGTGTCGCTCTCCGCGTGCTGAACGGGAAGCCTCGTATCCTAGCATCATTGTGTTTCAATATTTGCCCATCGTACGGTCCGAACAGCGTTCTTCGATTCGTCGCCCCCGTTGCTCGAATGAAGAGAAGCTCAGACGTATCGAGCAACCCTTTCCATTCCTGGAGAAGATTGCGTACATCATCCACCAAAGCCTGTTCATTGTACCGACGAATACTAGCACCAGCCGAGTGGGCATTTCCCTTGGAGTTGTCGTTGGCTGATTGCGAACCACCCTGCTTTCGTCTAGTCGTATATCGATGGAATGTCTTGTGAGCAAGCACAGTTGCTTCGCGATTCATTGCGCCTGCTGAAGACTTGTTCTGTCGCGGCGGCAATGCTACGACCATGGCAGCGAAATGGCCACCACCAATCATGCACAAGAAGAAATGAGGCCCTGTGTACGCCGCTGGTGGCGGTGCTGTGCCGTCCTTAGAGACCTTGGGAGCGACTATTGGGTCCAATTGTTTCTTTCTGACGACTTCCACCAGCTTCGTCTCGTCGCGCTGCTCTTCGGGACTGAGGATAGCCCTGTAGAGGCCAAAGTATGTATTTGACGGGAGAACTGGTGAACTGAACCATATCAGAGGCGGATTACCCTTCCCGCTACGTCGTATCGTGTCTTCGTCATTGTAATCTGCGGCTGGCAATGCGTACTTGTCGACGAGCGTCGCCTGCTTCTTCAGCAGTGCTGTGAGTGTGGATTCCTGGCCATCTTCATCCTCAGACTCTTCCGAATCTGAGCCCGATAGACTCTCATCAAGGTCCCCGATCAACTTCTCGAATTCTTTCTCGGATACCGGTTTTGCGCTGCGCAGCTTCTGCTTCAGATTGTAGTGGTGCCAGTCGCATTTCTGATGGCTTCGCTGATCGATGACGGTGGGAAAGGTAACTCCGCAAAGGGAGCAGGCCTGTGAGCCGACGGAATCGGAGGAAGATGTGTATTTCGAGGGAGGCGACGGAGGGGCCTGTTCGAGTATGGAGGCGTCTGGCTTAAGGGAGAGCGTTGTAAGGACTTCTTGGGGAAGATCATAGACTGCGACTGGATTAGTTGACGATGGCGGGGTAGTAGTTGCAGAGAAGACGAACCGTAGAGAGGCCGCTTGAGAAGATCCGATGTATTGTTCGAAGCCATTTTGAGCTGTCTGACAAGCCCTCACGGCGGCTCCAGTTGTTGATTGTAAAATGAGGAGTTGATAGGCCAGTATTGGTGTTCGTTCTGCGCCGTCGCAATGACTTAAAGCTCGGTATGGCGGGGCACTGCATCCAACTGATGACGAAGGGCTGGCTTTCGGAGATGACTCAGCCGGCGAATATTGAAGAGCACACAGGCCACAGGAGTTGGAGCGGGTGGCCGCCACAAAGCCCCGCGATATGTGGCTTGACGGACTCGGTGGGTCCATCTGATCCAACGTTGACAGCCACGTGATGCTACGGAGTGAGGTACGAACACATCAGGACAAGCTTGGCGGGGTTGAGCAGGGGGCAAGGACGAAGCCAGCTGAAGTGACAGTACACTAGGTTGGCGACAACCATCACGTCACCAAGCGTGAATTAGCTCCGTGGACCATGAGTGTGCCAACACTCCTTGGCTGAAGTGCTTCTTTGGATTTCTTGGCAAAGCGAAGAAGCGCTCTGGGCTGCATTGTATGGACTGTCTTACCTGGCTTACAGGCTTGTCTTGTTCCTCCTCTGCGACCTTGTTGCACATTGAGGTCGAGTGTCGGTACTTGTACCACCGTCATCGTCTGTCTTAGGTATCTTATATGGCGCAACTTGCAAGCCGTGCTGCCAGAAACTTGGCCTGCGTCAGTGCACCCCTGGCCAGCTGATGATGTAACTCCACCAACGGTGTAGGAAACTGCGAGGTGTATCGCGACTCCCAATTCTATGTCTCCTTGCTGCACCTCGACTAGCCTTTTGCCAAGACCAGGGAGGACAGGCAAGACGACGGTGCCCGCCTGCTGGATGCAGCTAAGATAGGTACTCTGCTACCTCTGGTCTAAGCCACTATCGTCCCGATGGTCTCCCCTCCCCTCCCTGCTCTGGTGACGGTTCCCTGTCTCTCTTCCTCGTGCAACCTTAGTCGAGCTACAAGTAGCCAAGCTGTCCCGTCATTCTTCCCATTCTGATCTGACTTTCTCTCCTCAACTCAATACAAACCTCGAAGATCGATTGCTCTGATTCATAATATTGACCACTACTACAACTATTCCAACAAGTCAAAACAAACCATCATTCATCATGGACTTCGTCAAGAACCTTGCTGGAGGCAACAGCAACAACAATAACCACAACAACGCAGCCTCTTCTGCTGACCAGCCTGAGAAGAAGGAGTCTGGCGGCTTCATGGACAAGATCAACGGCATGGCTGGCGGTGGGCGTGAGAGCGAGAAGCAGGAAGACGGCCTTGACAAGGGTGCGTGGGCTACTCTCCAAAACACCCAGTTACAAGACTAACATCACTCATAGCTGTCGACTTCGTCCAAGAAAAGTTCCTCGGTCAAGGTCCTCAAGACAACGAGAGCGCTGCTGAGCAGGCCAAAGACGAACAGATCAGCGACTTCATCCGTGGCCAGTACAAGAACACCACCGGCAAGGATATCCCCATAGAGGACAAGGACAAGAAGTACGGCCTGTAAATGCTTCGATCCTTCAGTCGAGCATCGCATAAGGGAGGGGAGCTGCACTCCGCTCGGGTTCATGAAGAAGGCGACCTGGAAATGGCAGCTAGACAAAGTGGACTTGATGAGTGATGGTACTCAACACAACACACTTGGAAAAGGACCCTGGAATGGGCCTTTGAGAATTGTAACTACCTAGTAATACCTACGAAGTCACGACTTTAACGATTATAACCCATGTATACACCCGTCTCATCATCGACTATGATGCTTGGGCCACTATTGAGTTTGACCAATCTATCGTAGGCCTACCAGGTAGCTGCATGCTGTGTAGCTTGCAGATTCGAGAACAATGACCACAAACACCTAGCCTGCTGGGAACAAAACCATTGTATAGGCAATTGAAGAGATTACCTAACTAAGGGTTATGTTTCCACGCACCTAGGTTCTTCGATTCAGCCCTTTGTAGTAGCTTTGTTGTTTCTGGTAACACAATAGCTCCGTCCAAGTATCACAAAGCCAGACTTCTACCATTAATCCTCCAAGATGAAGTATCCGCGCTGCCTGAACATGAACATATGATGAGTCTAAACTACAAGGGAAGCCTAAGATACATTGCTGGTGGTATATTTCTACATAGCCTCTGGTTCGCCATTCCCAAACTGGGGGGCCCTTCAACGATGCCGAAGACGTCAACGAAATCTGCCATAGATCAATTTCAAGATAAGTTCCTTATTGAACCAACATTCAGATCCAAACAACATGTGCTTCACCCAGAAGACCATCCATACAGTATGTGCCCATTCCACAGTAGAACTAATCGAGTGTAAGAAGTTTCTCGCAAAAAGCGACAAGACTGACCGCGATGCCTGCATCATACCTATCTGCCAACACACCCAGGCCCTAGCCACCGTCCTCGGCTTCTGCCACCACTGTGAGGTGGTCTACAAAGACGTCGACGTCTCCACTGTCAGCGCCTCGGAGCTACTTGACAACTACTGGAAGTTCAAGGCCGTACAGAAATGGCACCACCCCGTCGATCCTCTAATGATCCCCGCCTTGGCGCTTACAGAAGCGAGCATGGAGCTTTCCTCATCGTGGTACACCTTCGCACGAAATGAAAAGGAACTGGGGAGAGACATGGTAATGGCTGCTTCCGTGCAGTCACTGGTCCATGCCCTTGGCGAGCCCATCACACACCCTTCTTGCGATCTGTGTCGGAGGAAGCACCGCACGGATGTTTGTCGGATGGCAGTTGGTGGACAGAGGGCGACTGTTAGCTGGGCTACACGTCTCGCCAATGCTGGGGACATCTTCAAGACGTACGAAGTCTCTCATGTGCTGAGCCACACCAGTAAAGCGGAAAATGCGAACCATGGTGATTATGGAGATGAATCGGTCCTCTCCTTGGAAGAGGTTCGGATACCACCGTGAGTCGCTTTCATCTCACAGCCGCTTGGCTCCGAGAGCCCTCCGTCGCGCCGCCTGAACATCCATGAGCGTCGTGAGATTGAGTTCAAGGAACGACAAATATTGTTTGCTGAGCTCGCGGCCAACCACGAGAAGGATATCGAAAGGCTCAAGGAGCAAGCAGAGCTTGAGATCAGAGCAGAGGAGGAGTTCAGGAAAGCGATATCAGCCTCTGATAATGCTACTGGCGTCACCGCCTCTTCTAGCTCGGGTATCTCAACTAATTCACCTCCTTCACCCTTTCCTTCGGATGACATCGCGAATGCCTTCCCGAGCTTTAGTGGTCTTCATTGCGAGACCCCATTGATCGACGATGACGAGTTCGGCAAGGACAGCTCCATCTCACATCCTCTCCGCTATGATGAAAATGCTTTTACAGCTCTGGCAGGGGGCACCAAAATGATACAAGATGTGCTCGAATTGCGTCAAGCTGCGATAGTGAAGCCAGAGAATAGCGTAAACCTGCACTCATACTACGGCGAGATAGGCGACATTGAAGAAGAGAACTCGGAAGATCCGGCAAACCATTGTCCTGCAGACGAAAGAAGCGACACAATCGACGCACACATAAAACTTTATTGGAGTGATGTCACTGGTGACGAATCCTCAACTTCAGAAAGGGACCGTCTTTCAGCCAGCAACGTGAGATTGCCAGATATTCCCCCACTTTCTCCCCTCACGGTTGCTGGTCTCGATATACCATTTGAGAAAGTAGGACTTTCCAAGCCTCGCCCTCGCCCTATCATGCTAATGAAAGTAAATGGTTCACAGTCAAGTCACTCCCACAAGAATCAGGGTTCGGGAACAGAAAATGGCAAGGGTAAGAACGTCGCCGGTCCCGTTCATTCGGGACCATTAACCGAAGCCCCACCATTAGGGCCGGAGATCCGTCAGAAAGCCCCGCCTCGCCGGCCGCGCGGCCCCAGATATTGCCCAGAACACGCTGCTGAAAGAGATCCCGATTGTCACGGATGTCAGGCCGGTTGTTGGGTTGAGGTTGGCTTGCCGCCGGGTGAGCGCGTCGAGGAAGCAGAGCTGAAGCTGATTTGAGGTGAAGGGGGACCAGTTACCTTACACAGGTGAGTGGTCTAGCGTAAGTACTTACATGAGTAGATAGCTGAGATTGTCTAACTGAATTACATGAGGAATTAAAGCGATGCTGTGAGGTGACTTGGACCAAGACGAATCCCGCATTGTAGCAAGACGCTGCTGAGTCACGACTTAGGGTTTAAGACGTCAGAGCAGGACAGCGGGGACTAAATCTAAAGCCCGAGGGAACCAACAACATAGTTTTGCTCCCGATCAGACGAATCCGGGACTTCCAGGGTCTTGCAACATTATTCGAATCATCGAGCTACATACTTCCAGTATAAGTTACGCCCACAACATTCGACAATGATGGGCGAGCTTGGACAAGAGCAACAAGATAAATACGTGGATGGTCCACAGTCACACACGGGGATGCGTGCAAACCAACGCAGAAACAGGAATGCTCCAGTTCTAGACAATACTGGCCAGCATCGCACTGCTTGTTTTACGTGCCGCGCAGCTAGACAAAAGTGCGACAGGCAAACTCCTTGGTCGGTTTTCCCTTCAAACTCTCTTGGCGCACATAGGTGAAGTAAGCTGTCGCTGACGTCGCATGTAGCTCACGATGCGCCGTTCAGGGGCACACTTGTCGCTACCCGCTTAGATCCAACCGAGGTCGGAAGGAAGGAAGCACCAAGTAAGTGACATTGCAATCGTCCAGTGGCCTCCCGAAGAGTCCGCTGACGAAGAGACAGCAAGCCAGACACCGTTCAAAAGCTGTTAGACCGCATCAACGAGAGTCCTGTCCGGGACCAAGTTATTGCAGCCATCATCAACTCATCTAAAGTTCAGTCCCATCCTAACGTCTCAGCTCTAGACTCATTTTCAAGTTTAAGAGACAGTGTACCAGCTCAATCAGATGCGCCAGGAGCAGGGGAAACTCCATGTCCTGCCGTTGTTGAGCAAAGTGAAGAGTCAGACCGCGATGGCCCACCGGACTCTACTCTATCCCCGTGTCCGTGTTCAAATTTGAGAAAGGAGAGCTCCGTCGTGTCTCCCCTTCACATCATGGCAGCTGCTTTTACGACAAAAGACACGAATTCCGCAAATCAGATTATCGACACAGTGGTGCCGCACCTGCCATTCGATGCAGTCGGACGACGCGGCAACGAGAGCTCTATCAACAAACGGCTGATGGAGTATTTCAGTAAGCCGACGCCGGCGGGAACATTTTGTTTTCTATCGTCTGTTGTATATTAACTAATTACGACCTAGCACCTCGCCTGACGCACGACACGGATTGGCAAGTCCTAGCGTCTCAGCCTATCAACAGCACACTGAAGTTGGAGATCACCGCTTGTGACCCTGAAACTGCTCGCCTGGCGGACCAAGACGATGTGTCATTGTACTTTCAGCTGTTCGTATAAGAGGACACTGACTAGTGATTTACTTACCGAGATACCTCACACTCAGGTTCTTCCAGACGCGCAACCCGCATCTGGGGCTATTAGACCCAGATCTTCATACCCCTAAATACGTCCGCTATGCATCCTTCACCCTCTTTTCTGTCATTTGCGCTCTCGGGTGCGCCATTTCGACACGTCCGCGGGATCGAATCCTGTACCCGACCCTGCTCTCCTTGGCCGAAGCCAATCTCGCGTGGTCTATCGCGGTGCCAGTGAGATCGCTGGAGACGATCCAAGCCATTATCGCAATGAAGTACTGGGCACCGATGTATCAGAGACAGGGGGACGATCCTCACTGGCTTCACATCAGTCATGTGAGCTCACCAAGAAGTCTGGGGTTAACTCTAAGGAGACCACTGAGCTGACAACACCGTGTTTCTTCCGTAGGCTGTGCAACTTGCAAAAGAACTCAGAATTAACAAACCTGCCACCATCACTGAGCTTGTCAAAGCTTTATCCACCGACAAAACTATTGAAATGAGAGAGCGATTCTCACGCAATCTTGAAAGGACCCGGCTATATGTGTTCATAGCCGACAAGAGCTTCGGCATCGTCATGGGCCGCTCCCCAAGCGTAGCGTGGAAAGAGCTCCCGCCTTGCCCTTGTCAATGGTGGAGGAAGTCGATGACAACACCTCTTGATCGCATGATTAGTGGCATCATTGAGATCAGAGTGCAGTTGGTGAGTGAAGCCATCTTTCTGGATACTATCTCTCCTATCTCTCTCGCTTTGATTCAGTGTCTGTCAAACAGCCGGAGTATAATGCCGAAAACTGACATCAACAGCTCGAGTCCTTGAAACAGTTAGAGCGGACGAAAAAGACCGCTGCATCCGTTTCAAACTGGCACATAAATAACTACAAAGTTCTTGATCGAACTTGCAAGATCAGGTGCTACGAAAACGACGGGTCGTCTACACCCTCGTTGCCTATCCTAGCCTTTTACATGAAACACAGTCTCATGATTTGCAAGGGAGTTGAAGAGACTTGGGGGAGCAACAGCGTCAACTATTGCCTCGGTTGACAGCAAGGCATTTGAAACCGCACGCCAACTTCTAGATCTCGTTCTGCATGATCGAACGGTTATTGATGTTGGGTTGGGATGGCACAACAACCAGTTTGTGATGGTTGCCCACGCCATGACGGAAATTGTTCAAGTAAGTGATATTCCACCATTCTATGCAAGCCTGCTAGCAACGACTTATGACCTCAGGCTATGAACCGAGGAAATCTATCTCCTACAGATCACGGAGTGGCAGCATCCCAGATCCGAGCCACCTCAACGTGGCTGGAGGCGAAGGCGCAGGCGCTCCCAGCTACATCTATAGCCAGTCTCTACTCCGATCTCTCCAGAGTCTTAGTTTACGGACTAGATGAAGAGACCAGCACCGACACACAGAGAAGGCAGGGCCGCACTTCGAACGAGATCCCTGACTGTTTCATGACTGACTGGTCACGGGCTGTCGACGCGGCCTCTCTGAACCCAATGGATTGGCTCGATATGAGTTTTCTAGGCAACGAAGACTCGTTGGCTGGTCTCGAGAATATTAACTTCAACGACCTAGGCGATGATGGCGCTCTCCGATTCCCATAAGCTTTTCGTCCTGCATCAGTTGGGAGCGGCGAACTTAGCCATCGGCGCCAGAGAACGGGGCCGGTTGTGGATCCTAGCAACTGTGGATGTTAAATATCTAGAAATGGTAAAGGTTTGTCTTCGCTCTCGATGAGGAGAGCAGACAGATAGATCAGACATTATCAACAGCATGATCGACGGTATTCGTCATAGATTAGGTATATTTTCAGCCTTGCGACTGGATTCTGTCACATACGACCATACCCATTGGAAAACTCGGGATCCCGTCCGCTCTCCCATAGATAAGCCAATGAGGGCCGGATTAGTAGTTGGGTCGGTGACGACCAGCGAATACCTGGTGTTGTATGTTTTTGATTTTTGACAATCTTGTTCTTCCTTCCCAGGAAGCTAGATAGGGCGTGTTATGGTCGCGTGGTGCAGAGTGACATATATTTAACTCGTCCGACTCTCCAATACGTTTATTTAAACTTCAATTATAAGACACCGGTTTTAAAAGTAAGTAGTTAGGAAAACGTAATTACTTTAATCTCGACCGGCATTCTATTATCTTCATTAGAGCATAAGGTAGAGAGGTTTGAGAACTTATCTTCAATATAATAATATTAGGTATAATTAATACTATTATCAATAACACTCCCAATAATACTACAGTCGCCGCCGCTACTGCTGCTGCTGCCGCTTCCGCTTCTGTCCTTCTCGAGCCTCGACTTATGTGGTTTATTCATCGCTGAATGCCTTAGGCACAGTGGGATTCAGACGCGGAACGCGGAGCAGACACCCATTTCATAAAAGTATTGACTTCCGCGAAATCAGTAGCAAGACGGCTGCACAAGAGCGTGCCTCACTGTAAAGGCGCCGCGACTTACTTGGTGAAAGATCAGTCGACGCTACCATCGGCACAGCCTTCAAAACTCCCATCAGAAGACTATACGGTATGGCTGATTGACTGGGAATCATCACCACAGTGCTCTCGAACCAGTGTGTATTTAAGACGGACTCGTGCTAGCCTTGCTAGTATACACCTTAAGATGAACGTCAAGATCTCAGGGTCTTGAATCTCTTCATCCAGGTTCACAGTCAACCTCAATGGTCTCAAGGTGAGAAAACTTCAACAGTAATGATAACTCGATGGCTCTAGGTAGCCAAGTACTTCCTGAACGAGACCGCAGCGCCCAAGTTGGTAACTCCCTTCTATCTCACAACTATCGTGTTTGTTCTCATCCAAAGAATTTCTACCTACATCGCTCCATTACCGGAGTAACCCTAAACGCTCGGTCTGTCACACCATGTCTTCAACATCACACGGCAAGAAGCAACGGGATTTAAGATGGGACGGCCTTCCCAGAGAAATCCGACTTCTCATCACACAACACCTGATACAAGAAGGTAGTCCGCTTGCTCCCTTCGCCACAGTATCTCGAGAAATGCAAACGGACATCGAGCGACACAAATTTGCTCGAATCAGACTGACGCCATCACGGCTCCTAATTTCCGTGCTATGATCCAAAGAACTCGGGGTCTCTTCGGGTACATCTGGTTCTGCTTAGAACTGGACGAGTACGATTGCACCGCGTGCGCCCCTCCCCTTGGAGCGAGTACTTCAGATGACTTCACAGAGGGATGCGAGATCAGCGTCACAGATAAATGTCCCATCACCGCGTCATTCCAGTACCTCTTCTCGGTTCTCGGCGAATGGGAACCTCGCGGCGATTTGACACTCGATATTAGTCTATACTCACCCAGCGACTCAGAACATTGGTTCCCATGTCTAACCTTCGTGCCCCCCCCCCCCCCCCCCCCCCACCCCCCAAACGTGCCAATTGATCATGCCATTGAGAAGGCAAGTCGCGAGTATCACGACCCTGAACATGGCTGATTAGACTGCTCCAGACACCTCGCCCCGCCTCCGTTGGCTCTCAGGAAACTGTTCCATCTAATAATGGAGCAGGGACCGACCGCATGATAGTGATCAAGAAGAACTCGGCTGGTGGGATCAACTTCCGTTAGTTCCAGCTGTGACGACTTTGATTCTCCGTCAACAGAGCCGCCGGCGATGGAAACCGGTATCGCTGGCACACATGTTTGCCTGGTTCCCCAGACTCTAGGAACTCCACTGCGAACCGTGGAGGGAATGGGACGATTGAGAGCAGGGCTCTACAGATAGAGCTGAGTTGTTGCTGCACGAAACTCCCTGGCTGACTGGATAAGTCGAGTTGTTGCCTTCTCTCTGCAAGCACACTTTTACTGAAACAGATTCCGCATTTTCCCTGTCTTCTAGAATACAAGCATCTCTTCGAGTCAATCCAACGTTCCAACAAAAGCCTAAGGAAACTTGTAGTTTCTGAGAACTTTATCCAACAGTACCCAGCCAATATACGTCCTTACGGAGACCCTTACGGAGACCACGGCGGGTTCCTTGCGGGCCTTTCGCGAGCCTGTCGGAGCTGTCGGCCATATGCTTGCGCTCGCCAGCCTCAACCTTGAATAACTTGCAGCATCCTACATCACAGACGCGAGCCACTTCTTCGCGATCCGGTCTGAGCGGGCGTGGCCGAAACTCAAATCGCTGACTCTCACTGCAAAGATACGTACGCCCGACAAAGTCGACTCAACCGGGATTAGAGCCCTGGTCCTGGCAGCGGCGGCAGGGGCCGAGAAGATGCCCCGATGAGAAACCATGGATATCTGGAACGGGCGAAAGGGGTCGACTGCGCTTTTCAGGTATCAGGTGTTCCGCAACAAAGGGGAAGCTGTCCTCACTTGGAGAGAGGCACGTTGGAGTTGGCCATGGAACCAGCTGTAATTCAGGCCTGGCAAGCTGTGGCGAAGCAGTATGAGGTTTTGAGACTCAATGTGGTTGTAAAATGGCTGGATGGAGCGATTAACAGATCTCACGGAGATACGATACAGCACTTAGAGCTTTCAAGCCAGGTCATTCGGCCCGTCTCGTTGCAACATATCCAAGTGGAACAGAACGCTTTAGAGGGTGTAGCCATCTTTGAGAGTTAGTGGAAACATGACCGACAAAATGAGAACATAGTCTACGGGCAATAGTTAGTAGCTAGAGGTCGTCATGGTGGACGTTATCCTGTGATATCACCCAAACCCAACCTCAAACAAGTACCTTTTAATCATCACAACATTTATCTTCCCTGACGAATTCGAAGATATCGAATCTCTCATCCACAGATCGTTTCATGAGACCAGGAACTTCTCTGGGCATATCCAATACTTCAGTACTAGCGAGATTACCTGAGAACTGATTGAGCAGTACTGCCCGCAAGGATCATGGAAACTCCCAAACCTGTAAGTTTTCAATCTCATTCAATCATCAAGCTAGCCGTTCACGCATGCCATAAATCGACTCCGAGTCTACGATCTACAAGATATAAGATAGAGATAATCTTCAATGAGAAATACCATCTGTACTGACTACCAAATCCGACTTCATGCTCCATCGTCACCCTCCAACAGTTTTGCACAAACAGCGTACTCGACCCTCGCAACCACCAAGGTCGGGATCTACCCCAGATCAGCGATAATCATGTGACACAGGTACCACAATCCTCAATTTCGATCTACAGTTGTGCTGGAAAGGTTCGGATTAGGGTTTGGGCAAAAAGCACACATGTGATGCGACTTCAGCTTTCGGCGAAAAACGCATCATGATCTACATCAGATCCCCGATCACATTCACGGGCCCATGGACTCCGACTCGTCACCGACTCGAAACTTTTTGGGGGATCGACTTCTGAACAATTCGATCAAAGCTCAAAGGGGGGGAGAGAGAGTCTCCGCCTCTATCCGTAGAAGTGGACCGCCGGGAACGCTTCCCAGGCTATTCAACTTCTTGACGTCATGCTCCGGAAAGTTGAATCTTGACATATCATGGGATATTTCGCAAAGTGATGCTAGGCCAGGTTTACGTGGCAAATGGAACCAGAACCGAAACTCATCAATTGATGAAAGGGTCACATTCTGAACATCAACATGCGAGCCGCGCGGTGTCAGAGCTGCCAAAAGGGCTCGAGCCAAGCCCGACAAGTCAGATCTGTGGGCGGGAACGAGCCTTGTAGACGAGTAGATCGCCGTTGCCATGCTCCCGTCCCATTCGTGCGAGGAGACACTAGACCTGACCACTCTGACTAGAAACTAGGCAGAAACCCTGGGAAAAAAGAGATGCAGAAGCACTTGCTGATCTGTTCTGATGCTTGCTTTTTGCCACCGGGCAATCCGCATCTACAGTTTTCGCGGTCTGCGATTGATCGAGTGAGGGAATACCCGAGCCTGGAAAGAGATCAGCAAAGCACGGGCGATCGTTACCCCTGAGGCTCCATAACATTGACTCGTTGTCGTTCTGTTCCTCCTTTGAGGGTGAGGAAGGGGGGATCATCTTGGAGTTTCCGGACTGCCCAAAGCACATGACTCCCTCTGGCCCACAACACGCGCAGCATTAACTTGGGCCCCTTTCCAGGCTGCAGTATCGGAAAATCGTGACCCCATTCAGGACGTGCGAATTTCAGCGAGTGAAAGAGAACAAGATAACAAGACCGCATACGAAAGACTCTTGATGCCTCGCTTGTGTTCGCTAAGATGGGCCTAGAGCCTAGATCACGTCGCGTCGACAGAGGGTCGAACATTCGGCGGCTAATCGGCACATCGCAACCCTTCAAGGCTGTAAATAGAGTTGTTGAGTGTACTGAACGGCCGATAGTCTCGGAGGGAAGCGCGATTCCTCGCATACGATCTCAGCTGGTCCCTTGGCCTTGGCGGGACTGTCCCTCTGTAGCTGAATGACAGTTTCCCAGTGTTTCATCAACCTGCTTTGGGAAGAAGGCGTCTTCCTCGGAAATGAAGCTCTCATGCCCGTGTGTCTGTCAACCACCAAGGTTGCGTCAATGCGGCCCAAGAATCAAGACGGGCGGCCTCTGCCCTGGCAAGAACCTCAACGCGATGGCAGAGGCCGTCGAAACCTAGAGATGTCGCGGAAGCTGTGCGGAAACTGTAGCGCGGCGTCGTAGGCATGAGCGTTCGAGATACGTCCTTGAGAAGAGTCTGCGGGGAATGGCCCTTGCCGCAGATCTCGGAGACCAAGGCGATCAAGTGGGCTGTGTATCGCGATGGAGTCGTCGAGATTGACCTCGCCACGTTGTCAAGTCACGATGGCGTCGACTGGTCCCGACGCGTTGATGAAACCTCTGCAGACAACGGGCCCTAAACATGCGCGTTCCTGAAATAGGGCATCTGTTCGCGTCTTAGCTCGAGGGAAGCTCGGTTTCTGGGACCATGATGGGATGGCAGAGGCCATGGACCGTGGACCGTGAGCTTAGAGCATAGGCAGTCCGTCTGAGCTCCGTTGCGCTCGGTGACCGGGACTCGATGGATAGCTCAGCTTCGGAAAAGGACACCCAGGCGATCTAGACGAGAAACAGGAGTTTCCCCGCCGCGAGCCGAAGAGGAGAACTTGGATGGACGGATTGATAGGAGCGCATAGCTGGAGGCGTCTTCCATCAAGCCATTGTCCAAGCCATTGTCTTTCTGTGCCACAATCAAGATGGGGTAATGCGTTGCTTAGACATTTATCAAATAACCGGCGGCCGATATGGCGTCTTTCAACGAGGAGTCGGTGTTGTGCCTGTCACGCCTGTGTGTTGTGGTCGCGGGTGTCGTCGTCGTTGTCGTTGGATAAAAGTGTAATTAGTGCGTGTCCAGTGTACCTCCTCGAGGAGCCCGCCAGAGGCGTCGAGTGGGCTTTCAAGCCTAAGAAACAGGGAAAGGCCATGGTTGGTCAATGTGCGGAAAGAGGTCAGGTTTGGACGGCGTTGGCGGGTTGTGTGACTCGCAGGCTTCATGAGGCGTCGCGAGGTGTCCGAATCGAGCGAAGCCGAGCCGGGTTCGGGCGTGTTGCTGGCATGCCGGTGTGCCAATCCCCGTTCGGAGCTGGCGGCCACGCCCTCGGGATTAGCTGCAGGGCCAATTTCCTCGAACGGGCATACACGGGCCGCAGAGTGAGCAGAGAGGCGTCGGTCTTGCTCGTAGCCTCGTGTTTGAGCAACCCGTCCCGTTGTTGAAACATACGCACTGGCATTGACTCTGGACTAAGCCAATTCAAGGGCTGCATTTTCCCAAAGAAGTCGCCTGAGGAGCCAAGCCTGTGGGTTGGAGAATTGACTTTGAAGGCGTTGCCGCTGCGGGAGCTGGTACATGCTGCTTGTGCTAGTTGCAAGCCAAGAAGGAAGCGTGCTGGTTGGTGCTGATGCGGCAAGCCACCGTTCTTTTCCTTCGGGTATGAGAAAAAATCCGGCCGGCTTGATGACAGAAGACGATGGTGTTAGTCTGAGAGAAACAGACGTTGTGGCGGGGAGGTAATCGCGTCGTGGTAGTACGCGGATAGTTCATTGTGTGTGGATGAGCGCGTGCGAGACCCCCAGATAGTGACGGGAGTCATCGACAGTGACGGAGCAGAAAAACGCACGAGGACAGCACGGAGGATGGGGAAAGTTGGGAGAGGCTTGATCGGCTCTTCGTCGGGCTCGGAGCGGCGTAGTGGATGAAAACGGATGGATAATAATTATTACGGCGATGTGAAGTATGTCGCCAGGCGCTGTACATGATGGCCTGTCCGTACCGTCACATAGTCAATTAGATCCACTGGAAAGAGAGAGACGAACCACGGAGGCCGGGTTGAACAGAGTCATTCCGGGTCTCTGGCGCCATTAAGCAAGCAGACTACCAGACGTGTCGGTCACGGGCTCCATTAGATCCATCAACTGGCGTAGACAATCAGGGCCAATCGTGGCAGAAGTCGGCTTCGACGCAGCAGTCAAGGTCTCGGCAAGGGACGATCGTCAAAAGATCATTTGATGTGCTGACGATGGTTGGACGGATCTCAGAGGCACGAGCTTGTCGAGGCACCAACAGCAGCAGCTAAACCGTTTGTGAGCGCCGCCAGCCCACAAGCTCATCAAACATGGGATCTCTGATTGAGTGCTCTCGGACCCTCAAAGTCTGCGCGTCGGCCCCCTCCCCTTTTTGATTTTCTCTGGTATTTTGTGCACCGCCGAGCTCGCCGCGGTTAGAACTTGGCCCCCCTCGCGATTCGGATCCCGCAGGCTCGTCTTGGGTTGTTGGTGGTCTCGAGCCCTGGGCCGTGCCCTTTTTTGTTATTTGCATGCGTATTTTCTCGGTTTAACTTCCAAGGGGGAGGGCGTGTTTGTCATTGGCGCTAACCACCAAGCGATTTGGAGCCTTTCGTGCGCAAACATACCCATACTGTCCCCAAGGCGGTTGGATTTCTCAAGCCAGCGCGCCGTACAAGACGCGCCGAGCCTTGCAGGAGCTGAGCCAGTCTCGCCGAAAGGCCATTGCTGGCGGCTCCAGTCTGTCGAACAAGGCGGCCCGGCGGATAGAACCCGAATAGGGGTTGGTGGAGTGTCCCGACACCCGCGTCAACAACGAGTGATCAGTAAACGACCCGGTGATAGGGTTCGCATCCAGCAGGGCGCGAGAAAGGGTGGACGACGATGGCGTCTGTGGGGGATTTTCATAGCGTTCCCACAATAACAGCAGCATGAAGCGACCACGGACGACGATGGCAAGCTGTCTTCGTACTCGTAGAGTACTACGTACTGCGTAAAGTAAGGTACTTTGTCAGGTATCCATCCATCCATCCGTAAAGTTGCAAACAAGCTTGTGTGGCTTATCCGGACCCCCTACTCGCTGAGTCGCCTTACTTTTGTGATGGGACGATTGGGAGAGTTTGATCTCTGTTCTTCAACCTCGAGTGCTGGAACAGGCGCGTTTGTCCCGTCGGAGAAGAGCAGACATTTCAATATTGCCCACTCGGCAGCGGGACCCTGATGCTCGGCCCCATTTGTTCCCAAGCCCCCCCCCCCATGCTCTTTTGCGAGCGAGTGCTGGGATGACAATGAATGGCCCTGGTTGGTTCGTCAAGCAAATGGCTTCATAGAGGTATCCGTACCGTGGACGGAGCTTTGCCGGTCGTTGGAACTTGGCACCGTTTTGCGTTGTGCACCTCTGCGGTTTTGACACGATGTAGTGACTAGTAACTAAGGTAGTATGCCAGGGCACAAAATTCGGATGAAATCAGCCCAGTCATCTGGTTTTCATGCGTCATCCGATAAATAGCATGTCCATGGCGAGTTTGGCAAGAAGAAAACGAACAAACGTCCCAAAAGGGAAATACATTTGAAACATGCCGGGATCAATGGTGAAGAGAGAAGACGAGGAACTGAAAGGGTGAGGGGGTTCGAGATGTGCTGCAGGAGGTTGAGCGGTTCGTCTGAAGAGGCGAGGACAACCGGGGGCTTGTACGCAGTAGTGCCCCCGTGTGGATGGAAATATTATCAGGGAAGCAGCGGAGCGACGTGGAGGCGAATCGCACCTGCATTCAGATACGTAAGGTACAAAGTCCTCTTCCCTCCTGCATCCGTATGGAGAGGTACCTGGCAAAGTATCCGTACTTCGTACCTGCCCTGGAGGCTTTCTGTGGCTGGACATGGATTGCACGGCAACGGCACAGGCGCAGTGGAGGCAGGCAGGCATAACGGGGCGGCGCTTCGGATCCGACCAGCTGGGCGAGCGCCCGCCCACGGAATCCGGTACAGCAAGAACAAGCAAGGGACCTTCCACTCATGCCGTCCTCGCTCCTGCTCCTCCCATCCATGACCTACACTACCTCACCTGAAGGTAAGGGAAGGTGCGAATAAGGTCCAGCGACATATACCCGTCGCCGAGCCTCGCGATGTCGACAGTTAAGGTAATTGCAGTTTGCCCGGACCACACCTTACCTGGACATACAATGTACTTCGTACTTTGTAATCGCAGCCGTCCCGGGCTTGCAACTCCCGTCACCCACGTACCTTGCCTTACTTACCTACTCGAAAGGTACGAACACCTTGAGTAAGTAGGGAGGAGCTCTCCTATCTGTTCTCCATAGCATACCTCCACTGGTTCACGATAGGCACCATCCGACTTCCCTTGCCAATCTTAATAACTGTCAGCAACAAACCAAAAAAGCGATCAAGTAGCGCAAACGTTGTTGGTCGAGCCTCGCCCTTGAGCAAGCCCCAATGCCCCATCAAGGCCAAACGGGGCCGCGGGCGAGTGATGTCCAATGTTTGCACCATGGTGTTGCCACTGGCTGTCTGTGCATCGCGTCAATCGATGTCTTCCCAAGGCCCGAGGGGGGTAACGCCGGTGCGGACCCTGATCATTCATGTGAGACTCGAGTCATCTGCCATTTTGGCGACAGGACTCAATAGATACGTGCGTACGCAAGGCACACGAGGTGCCTGCATGTTATATCCACTTTGCATGGCATCGTCCCAACATAGCATTCTGAAAAGATAGAAAGCAGTGCGCGAAAATGGAAGAGCCCAATTCAATTGAAACATGACGGCGACGGCACAGAGAAAGACTAGTTGCAACCTCGAGCCTCAGAGTAGCCAGCAGCACACCTAGCCTGGGACCCAGAAAATAGTGGAAGAGAGGAACCGACAAAAGGGCACAGAGATCCACGAATCCGTTACAGAGGGTCCGCAATGGGGCCTCTTACCCTTAGACAGCTTTGCGAGGGCCGACTGCAAGGTGCTCCGTACAAGCAAGCGCGGGCGGATCACCCAGCGAGCGCAGCGAACGCGCCCAGCAGACTTGAGCGATTCCTTTGCGAGTGTGGTTGCCGTGAGATGGCATGTCATGACACATGAGGGCGGCGCGGGGTGGGGCACCAGCGCTTTCGATGAAAAACTAAAGTCTGAAAGTATGAATATGTCTACCGCGTATCTGTGTGTACGTGCGCGGCCTAGAGAGGAAAGGACTCTCCAGGAGCGCGGTTGATAGCGTTGATAGCCCGATGTCAAACTCGACGCTCGTCACAGTCATCACGGGTTTGCTGTAATTATAGTCGTAGCTCGAGACGTGTGCTTGTTGTCACAGATGTCCTGCTAATTCGAGAGCTGTTGGCTTCGTGGGCGTGTTGGGGGGAGATTGCGCGCGCCATCCAACTAAGCAATCGAGCATGGCTTGCTTGGTCGGCCTGGTGGCTGTTTACTCGCATTCGGTCCTCGTCTTCTTCGTGTCTTCTATTCTCGATTCTGGATTCCACATCACATAGGCCGTGCCCAGTCCAGGTTTCCGGATCTACTGCGTAGATGAACGCTCCGAGTAGAGTAGTGCGTTGAGGGTATACGTATGGCTGACGGGAGTTGAAGGTCCAAAAAAAGACGTGACGAGCCGATGAGAAGAGCCGGTTCCTGGCAACGAATTAAATGGTACCGTCCCGTCCGCGTCCACTTCCCATCCGACGTCGACAATCACATTCACATTTCACACCCAGGGCCCACTACCTTAGTCTCTTTTAGACCAAGACCAAGGTCTTCTCCACGCCCGCGTCTCTGCCAACTTTCAAGCGCGACTTGACAATGTGAGACGCGCCGCTAGCTCCGATCGGGAGCTGATGTGCCGCTGGGAGATTCATGTAAGAAGCACGATGAGGCAGACGTTGGCGAAGCTGCTGTGGGCTAGCAACGGCGACGCAGGTACCTCAGCAAAAAAGGGACGTTGGGGTGGTAATGTAGCAGAAGATGGATGGCGCAACTTGCAAGGCGTGGTACGGCGAGAGACATGGTCCTCTGTTGAGGCAAAAGATAGTCGGCCAATGCGCATCGTATTGGATCTTGTGTCCCGTATCAGCAGGAGTCGGAGACCGCTGACCAAAAGAAAAGAAACATGTATCCTTTGCGAGGTACATTGATGATTGGCGACTCTATGCTCTGTATCCGTACTCCGTACCTTAGCTTGGGCAAGTCTCAAATGGAGGACGGGCTGACGTATACGTGGTTGCACACAGTAGTGTTGAAACGTCCCTGAGGAAGCCGTCGCCGTAAATGGACCCACAGCAGAGGTTGTTGCAGCTTGCATGTGAGGGCGTGAGCCTCTGATGTATTCGTACTGATACTGTGTATTCGTATGTAAGTAATCGTAGGTTCGTGTCGTGTCTTGCTCTTTGGAGTTTGGAGGCTTTTTGGCTCTTGGGTCGATAGTCATGGTGACCAGCATTCCGTCCAATCAAACTCATCGTCCAATCAGACCCAAGTTTGTGGCTAATTATTTCCCCTCATCCTTCCCATCCTTATCCCGTCATGTTATTAAAGCTGGCTCAAATCGGCAATGGGCCCCTGCCATCGACCCCTGTCACTTCCTGTGGCTGCCCTTGCACATCATCTCATGGTCTCCGAAGCTCACTGGGTGATCCCTGCCATGTATTCGTGGGCGGGACGGCGGGTGCCTGAGCAGTGAGCGATGGTAGAAAGGAAGTGCCAGGCCGTGGTGAGGCGACTCCGAGCGAAAAGAAGCTCTTTCGAGCATGACTGCTTGGCTACTTGGCCCCAAGACCCCGAACAGATACACCCCTTCGTCCACGAGAGAGGAAGAAAGGCCCCTATTCACCAAGGGTATCCGCAGGAGTCTGGGGCCAGGAGCAAACTCTAGGCATGCGGCCTGCCATCCCAACCATTTCCATGCCACCGAGCACACTCACTGCCTACGGAGTAGGTACCTAGGCACCTCAGTGCAGGTATCGGTACAGTACAGTGAGTGCTGTGCGGTGTGCTTCACTCTGCAGTAGCAGCTGCCGCAGCCTGCCAGCACCTCCGTGGCCCATGGGATTGCCTGCTTCTGTTTCCCCCTCTGCTCTTGTTTCGAAACGCTGGACCGCCCCGTGGCGTATCGGTGAGCAGTCCTGAATTTGTTTCAGGTGATAACTTGACCAATCATGCCGAGGCAATCGTCAACGACCGAGTTGGCTCCCGTGAATTCTCTTGATTTGGCCAGTTTATTCGCGGCTGTCTGTGAAGCATCGGCAGACCAGACACGCAGGCTCGCACACACACTGTCGTTTCTCTGGCCCCCGCGCTGCTGAGCCTGATGCTGCGCCATCATCGTTCAGCTGTGCAGCATCGGCACCGGTGCAGCGGTGCTGAGTAGTGTCGATGAAGGGGGCCGGGGTTGGTAAGTATTGAGAGAAACTGGACCACAGGAGAACTCAAGGGTTGGATCAGGTACCTTGGACAATAGACAATATCCGTATCCGTACGTCAGAAAAGAAGAAGAAGAAGCAAAAGAAGAAGAAAAATGAGTAGGGGCTGGTAATTTGCCGTTGGGAAGGTACCGTTACCCGACGATGCAGCGGGCATTGCGCCACCATGGACAACCTAAATTCATTGCGGATGAGATGGATGAGAATCATCGGCCGACTAAACGTGGGAAAGCAAAGGAAAATGGCGGTAGAATTGTAACCCTAGACTCTATTGGCCTCCATCATGTCTCTTTGGCATTAGCCTCGATGGAAAAGCGGGGAGAAGGGGGGAGGGTGTCGAGACTTACCTTAGTGTGGGTTTCCTTACCTAAGCCTACGACTCCTTATGTAAGTCAACTTCCTGAGTTCTCAAAGTCAACGGGAGGAAGGAAGTGCATTCGAAGGTGCTGCCATACCAACCTCCGACACCGCAAAAACAAAAGACAGTTGCGAATTGCAACTTGCTGATTGCCATTATTCCCCCTTGCTCTTCCGACCCTTGCCTTCCATACGTTGCTCGTTGCTTCTTCTTCCATTGCATCTCTCGCTTGTCTTTCGCTTGCTTCCTAGCGCATGCCTCTAGCGGTCGGAGGCTGGAAAGCAGCAGCAGCTTGACGGGATATTTGCGCGTACGGAGCAAGGTAAGGTACGGATACCCGTACGTGCCTTGCCGTTTTATTGCTAGCGGGCAGCGGAATTGGGCCTGGATCCGTTGCTTGCATTTAATGCTTGCTTCCCATTGAGGTAACAAGAGTGCCCATTGGCAGTCACAATCTGTTACAAGTTGCCGTCAAATCAACAAACTGAGATGTCAACCCCACCCAGTCACGACTCACGTTTGTGATTTGAGTTGTCATCATGTGACGACTTCAACTTGACAACCATTGAATCTTGGGACCGAACCTTCCTCAAGTTGATTGACTTCCCCCAAAGTACTCTACCTATTGGTAGGTACCTTACCTAAGCACGTGCTAAGGTGACTTGGACCCAAGGTTCCAAGGTGAGATTGGCTCGAGCTTTGACGTGCCGACTTGATTAATTTTTTATGATCATCTTATCCCCCCATTTCTCCGTACCCCCGTTCCTTTCTTTCACCTTGTCGGTCATGATCCCAGTCCGTCTCTTGGGGCCAGGTACTTCGTAGATCCCTCGGCTCACTCTCCCATTGTCCATTGTTTCTCTGCTTCGTCGCCTTTTCTTTCGCTCCCGTTCCCGTCCCTATTCCTTGCATTACATTCCATCTGGCATCCACGGCCCAACTCTTCGTAGGTCCCGTCCTATTGCATCACATCATCACTCACATCCCCTGCTCAGCTCCCTCCACCCCGTTCACATCTTTTCCCCTTCTTTTCCCTTGGTTCTAGTGGTGTGTTCCTGCTCTTTCGCCCCCATAGCTGACCGATAGAGCTTTCGTCGCCCAATTGCCTACTACCTTCCCATGGCACGGATGTGCCTGAATTCTGAACTGCGCAGAGGATGAGATGGATTTAGTCCCCTGATCCCAGCGAGGCTGAAGTGTCTCTCCAACTGTTCGTCCTTACTATTTCCGTCTGGTCTCTTGATTGATCCTCTTTCGACAAACAGACGTTCGTCCCTTGATAAGCCAACAACGTGCCGCTTTTTTGTTCACACCCCTGCCCCTCCGCTCCACCCCAAGACAAGACAATTTTTTTTTTAAAAAAAAAAAAAAAAAAAAAAAAAAAAAGAAAGGCTAGCATTAGAATGGACTGAACCGAGCGTATCCAGATGAAGTGAGAAAATCCGTCGTCTCAATAGGCGTATCAAACGCGCGACACTCACTGTCTATTTCACAATGATGGTGTAGCGTCCGAGCCGAGCACGTCGTTGGTGACAAGATGTTGGTCTGTAGTCGGCAAACGATGACGCGCTGAGAGTCTAGAGGTTCGTTTCGTGGCGGGATCGACCCTGCTCTATGCTCGCAGCTCAGGTCCTCTTACGCTACAATTCAGTCACGATATGTACCCCCCTAGTTCCTCCCCTTGTTTCTACGCCCCCCCTCTACTTTCAAGACCTGCACAGACGGAGCATCACAGCACTTTACCTGCTTCAACGCCCTACGGGCCTCGCGTTCCAAAGCCAGCCCATCGTCCAGAAGGAGTGAAACATGCCCGTTGGAGCTGCCAGCGGGCACAGTCAGCGGGTAATTCACCAAGTACTCTACGAACGGACTGGTCAGGCCGGAACACACTTCTCATACGGGGGCGGCGTCTCTGTACCATTGTTATTACGGAGTATCTCGGAGTACCCTCTGCACAACACCCGTATGAGGATGCGAAGAAGGGACGCGCACCGGGGGCAGGAAAGCAACAGGGGCCAGGAAAATCTCTGTTCTATTCTCTGCGTCTTCTACTCCGTATTGCTTGCTGTCATCATCTCTGTGCCGCATCCTCGACTGGGCTTTCTGGGGCTCAAACATCGGATGGTATAGACAAGTGCCATTGGGATATCCAAGCATCGAAATGCTGCCATAGTGACTTCAGAGGTCAGACTGCCTTTCCATTGTCTGGTGTGTATGCCTGCATATGCCGAGAGCGGCTTCCTACTTCACAGACATTAGAAGCGCACACGCAAAACGCACGCACACAACCTGGCTCGAGAACATGGCATGTAGCCCACTCCACCTCGCTCGGCGCCTCTTTCTGCTTCTGCATCTGCCTCTGCCTCTCTCTTGCGGTCTTCAGTCCCACCAATCGTGCTCGTCTTTAGTAGTTTATAGGCGCATAATACCTATGGATACCAGGACCGCCCAAAGCCCAACCCAGCTAACTACCATCGAACAAGATAAGGTAGATGGATGAACCAGATCTCGCTCCAATCGTCAACTTGTACGGGTCCTGTAACATTACATAAGATACACTCAGCTTGGGAGATGTATTCGTAAGGTAAGGTCAGGTGTCATCAGTCAGTGGGAAGCAGGGGAGGGTGTAGTGAGTAGTGACTGTACAGATAGGTAGAGCAGGGCAGCAAGAGAAGAGCAAGAAGCGCACCAGAATCAACGCACGACGTACGAGCAGGGATCATTCCGACTGCTGTACACCAAGTACTCCGTACAGTACCTTCCCTCCATCCCTCCTACTCTAACTCCCGCAACCCTAGCACCTGCTTTTTTATTTTATTTTCCAACTCGTTTCCCTCCTCTCTGTTTCCATTTCATCGTTTCTCCCTCCTCCTCCCCCCCCTCCCCCCCGCTTTTCCTCGCGCCTCCTTCCTAGCAGCAACCTCGTTGTTCACTCTCCGCACGCCTCACACTTCTCCAATCTCACGCCTCCTCCTTCTTTTTCTTCGTCTTCTTCTCCTCCAAGGTACCCGACCCCTTAGCTCTTCTCTCTCGCTCCATCTCTCCGCGCTAGGTCCCTGACTAACTTGCCCAAGCTTCCGTGCTGGCTTTTGGGCCTTGGCTCTGATTCTTGCTCTTGCTCCTCTCTGGTGCTGGCTCTGTGCAGTGTGCAGGCAGTGTGGGCTCTTTCTGGGATCCCAAAGCACACGCCTCCCCTCCTTCCTGGCTCCTCCGCCTCCTCTCGCTTCCCACCAAAGCGTCCGAACTCCAACACCAACTTCTTTTCCCGTCCGGAATCTGATCTTTAACCTCGCACCTCCCGCACCTACCTCTCACCTCACCTCAATTCACCTTTCCGACCTCATCACACGCCAACCACAACACCCTTTAATCCACACCCACACTCGTTTCCTATTATTATATCTCCGAGAGACACCTCACCAACTTTCGACCAACCTCCTTCTCTCGATCTTGTTCTTTTTTATTCATTTTGCTTCTCGCATCATTAACCCAGGCTTGCCCTGCACCTCATCTGATTAGCTTCCGCCAGTCTCTCGCTCTTACCTATTCGCCAATCAACCACTTACTACGCCGATAACTTCTCTACACCATAGTCTACTACGACCACCATAATTACCAAAGTCGAGATAAACCTCCATCGTATACGTTCGCCCTTACTTTTGCGACGAATCGCCTTGGAAAGGCTTGCTCCGTCGAACCACAGCACTCAAGAGCCGACCCGAGAACGCCGGCGAAGCTCCCAATTCGACTACATCGAGTGAGGGTGGAGAGCGGAACGCCGTCGAGATGGATCACCCCATGCAGGATGCCGCAGCCGACGTGCTGGCGGATGCTAGACGTACACTAGAGGCTCTGAAAAGCTCTGGAGTTTCCCGTGAAGCACTATTGCAGATGTGGGAAGCTGGCGACAAGGCGGCACAGCAACACCAACAACAGATGCAGCTTCAGCTTCAGCACCAACAACAGCAGCAGCAACACCAACAGCATGCCCCACAGGATGTCGCGATGGAGGATGCTTCTACACGAGGTTTGTTCCATCCTTCCCCCAAATCTGACCTTTGTGGGAGACAGGACACCCTTGCTAACGTCCCTCTTGTTTCCTCAGCGATATGCCATGGCCAAATAGGTCATAGACCACGCATCTCCGTATCATCGACGAGCTCGGGCTCTTCCGGCCATGCGAGTATCTGGTCCATGGGCTCCGCTGCCTCCAATGCCACAGTCGCGACACATTACTCCCAAGCTTCGCAGACCCCTTCCACCCAGCAGTGCGCGCCCGCAGCTCCCGGAGGCGTGCCCCAGGTAGCAAGCGCTCAGACAGGATGGGGTCCCGGACGCTTCAACTTTTACTGGTGTACCTCATGCGAAACGAGATTCAAGCGCAAGTACGACTGGAAGCGTCACGAGGAGGAGTTCCATGAGCGTTGGAAGAAGTACCCTTGTCCCGAGCCTGGCTGCAACAGGAGCTTCTGGGGAGCCAACACCTTCAACCAGCACCACAAGGCTTCGCACGGCTGCAAGTCTTGCCCGCACTCCGAAAAGGTTGTCAAGTATCTGAAGAGGAGAAAGTACTGGGCTTGCGGCTTTTGCTCGGCCCTGCACCCTTCGAGAGAACGTCACGTCGAGCACGTCGCCAGACACTTCGAATCAGGAAAGACAAAGTCGGATTGGATGCACTCAAGAGTAATCTACGGCCTCTTGCATCAGCCTCTGATCCACGAGGCTTGGAAAGATGTGCTCATGTCCAAAGCCAACGAGTTCCAGGGACGTCAGCCTAACTTCAGCTGGAATCCTACCCAGACTGGTCGAGCGCAGGGTTTCATGGAGAACGAGAGCCCAGGCCAACTCCAAGATTTGCTCGAATTTTTCTCTGGGTCCAGCTCCGAGGCTGAGTCTATTGTCCTGATTGCCTACAAGCTTGCAGATCTCGTCTACCTTCCTGTTCCGGCCTCGCCGCCAATGCAGTATTCTCAATGCTACGCACCTCCTGCTGCTCTCCCTCAACAATACCCCCCTCAGCCTCTTCTTCCTCCTCCTTCGATACCTTCCCAAACTCTTCCGACACAATCACCCCAACCTCCAGTTCTGGCATCACAGGATTCATCACCCTCGCCGTACATGGAACAAATGAGGGCTCAGTCAATGATGCCGCAGCCTTTGTTTCACCCTCAACAGCCGCGCGCGCACACGGAACCTCTGCGTCGAGCATCACTTGACAGAGAGCTTCCGCCGCCGCCACAAGAAAACCAACCGATGAATTTCCAATTTATGCCTGAAAATATGGTCACATTTGAGGACTGGGAGAGTTTTTCCAGCACAGTCGTCGACGAGAACGCACCACAACCCACGCCAATGACAACAGATTGGCCGCTGGTGCCTGTACAATATTACAATGCCCCTGTAGGGCCATGAACACCTTCATTTTTCTTGCGAAACAGATAAAAGTCATTTTCCTTTGTAACATGTCACATGTATTGCAGCTAGCGATGCCCGCTGGCGAAACAATATAGTATATAATGGTAATCACCTTGTGGGGGACCAGACTCGAAAAAAATTCGAATCAACATTTCTTTAGGCCACGGATTCGGGCGAAAACGGAACGGACCAGGTATCGGATGGGAACACGAATTGGCAAAGGGAGGCCAAAAAGAGGAGGAAGGCGTCGCTTACGAAAGAGGTGTTCCATTACGGCTGATGGCGAATATCAAAATGCGATGGATAGAATTCAATCAAGCTCATTGCACTGCAACCCTGGCGTCTACCTCCCCTCTCGTGCCCTCCACCCTTCAACTATTGACTGATGAGGAGTAGCGCGCTGCGCTGAGAGACAAATAGCGCCTTACATAATGGCAACAAATGCATACAAGGTACTCGACCTGCGACCATCCATCACTGGTGCTGGCTCTAGCGAACTGCAAAGTTGTCACCTCGCAGCAGCAGCATCCGGGACGATTCCCACCCATTGTGCATTCCACCTCGACATCAGATCATCCGGGACTTTTGCTTTGCTCTTGGCGTGGATGATGGGTGGTCGACTTCGGTGCAAAGTAAACACTTTTTTCGGCCGTTGCTTTCCACTGCCATATGAGAATTCGGTTCGGTCCTGTCAACTCTGGCTCGGTGGGAAGCTGCAGCGCAAGTCAAACTATTTGGAAACCGTGCAACCTGACAGAAGTCGTTTGTTGTTCACACATAACGCCGGTTCGAATCGTATGGTATTAAAATTGAACTGCCCATGGCACCTACTCGGGAAGCGGCATGAGGTTGGAAATGAGAGTGCGGGCGCCTATGTCCATGGATGAATCAAGGTACTTTGTGCTTATACTTGAAGCGCATTGCTTGGACGAACGTGATTTCAAGATGACAGATTTGACATTGACAGATTTTTCAACCTGGGCCTCGTCGGCCACTTTCACCGTTTATCGAGACTGTTGCTCATTGTTATGGGCCATACCCAAGCTTTCTCCAGGCAAGCATTGCTTGCCAACTCATTTCGCCCTTGATATCAACGCTGCGAGCCGAGGCGCACCCCGGCAACCACCTTGTGGTTACTCGTATGTTATCCAGCGGCTCGGACCCTGTCCTTTGTTTGCTTGTCTTCGAGGGCGGAATGAGAAAGAAAAGTTGGGAGGGAAGAAGAGGTGGACCACGAGGTTTGGAAAAGCTTTGTTTGGGGGAAACACATACTGAACAGAGTCGCAGCTTTTATCGAGCTCGATGACGTTTACACCATGGCCAAAGTCCCCAAACTCTCGGCAACCAAGCCAACGGCGGCGACTGTGGTCGGCAAGCGGGCCGAAGCACGCTCAGCCGCAGCCGCATCCGCGATCTCGGGCACGGGTCCGGCCCGCAATGGGTACTCCCTTCGGCGCTGGCTGCGCGATGCCGACGATCCTCGCACGCCGTGTGGGGTCTTCGAGACTGGTGGTGGAGGTGATGAGGGCGGTGGCGAAGTCGCTGGCGTTGTCACGGCTGTTGCCACCGCCGCCTCTGAGAAACATCCGGGAATGTGCGATACAGGTGAGTCGTTTTCAACGGTTTTTAACTCTCCTTGTTTAGTTTATTTCGGCAATCTGAGACCTGGAGCCCCGCCACTGCGGGTTGAGGTGGTCTGGATCGCGCTAATATGGGTTTGCAGTACGTATATAACTAATACGTCGGCGCCAGAGAGATCGACTGAGGATTGGGTTGGCCATTGTGATCAGGTAGCCTACCTTAGGTATTTGACGAATCAACAGGTGTTTTTTCAAATAGCATGGTGTCCAATCACAGCTCTTATATTTCATTTGGATATTTGGTGCACTGTGTATCCGTGCCTGATGTTTCGAGTCTACGTCTTTGTAAGACTTCCACTATCGCATCAACCAACATCATCACCATACTCTTCACCCTGGACATCGAAAATGGCATTAGAATGATGCTAAGCCTTGGAAATTGGCAAGTACAACATCATATTAGTGCTCATTTATTGCAGCAGGCCTGTCCCGCCATATTCTCAAGTCACGCCAAGCCTCCGTCAATGGACGGAATCATGCCGGAACGCCCCATAACGCCCCCAATACCGAGCCTACAACGCAACTAAATAAATGCCTCCTCATCTATAATACCCAATAGCTTTCGGACGCCTCACGAAATCAACCTTGGCCGAAGCAGCAATGATCGGTGCCGGCGTCCCCGACACATGAGGATCCCACCCCATGACGTCGTACGGCCACCCAGGCTCCCACTTCTCCACGCTCTCGAGATACGCAATCTGCGCCTCTGACAACTGAATCGTGAGCGCGTCGATGTTGTCCAGCATCTGCTCGACCTTGCGGCCCCCGACGACGGGGAACACGTACGGCACTTTTGCCATGACGTACGCCAGCGCCACGGCCGTGATGGACGACACGCCAACTTCCTCCGCCACCTCGGCCAGCGCTTTGCTCACGCGCATCTCCGTCTCCGTCTGGTCCGCCAGGTGCCGGAACGCCTGCCCTTCGTCGTCGCTCCGCCGCCGTGCCTCAATCATCTCCCGTGTCTTGAACTTGCCCATGCCCGCGGCGCCGTACGGCGCAATGGCCATGCCGAACTGCCGCGCCATCGGGATGATGTCCCGCTCCATGTCGCGCATGATGACGCTGTAGTAGCCCTGGTAGATGGAAAATGGCGTCTTGCCGTGCGCGCGCGCGTACGTATTGGCCGCGCTGACGACCCAGGCAGGGCAATTTGATATACCGAGGTAGTGCACTTTCCCTTGCTGGACGAGGTTATGCAACGCGTCCATGACCTCCTCGATGGAAGCGGTATAATCCCACCACTGAACATAAAAGACGTCGATCCAATCGGTGCGCAGCTTGGCCAGCGAATCGCGGAGGCTCATGTGCATCGATGCGCGCGAGTTCCCGCCCGCGTTCGGGCAGCGGCCTTTACCGAGGGCGTGCATGCGGTAGTCGGCCGAGAACTTTGTCGCGACGACGCAGCGGTCCCGGACGCCGCGGACGTCCATCCACTCGCCGAGCCAGGCCTCGGATTGTTCGTGCTGGTAGCCGTTGGAGCAGTCGAAGAAGTTGCCGCCGGCGTCGAGGTAGGCGTCCAGCAGGCTGAAGGCGGCGTTCTTCTCGACGGGGCCCATGCCGTCTGACCAGGCCGTTCCCAGGGACATTGTGCCCATCTGAAGGGGGGAGACGCGGATCGCGGCGTTGGGGGAGAGGATGCGGTAGCGGGCGAGGGGTGTTGGGGGGTCCGGGGCCGGGAAGAAGAGCGTTCGAGCGCTTTCGGTTGCCATGATGGCGAGCTTTTCTAGTAATGGAACGTTTCTTGCCTGGTCGTGGTCCTGGATCCTCCAATGTTGGCTGATGTGAATGGTGAGCGAAGGTTAAGATCGTTGAGATACCCAGGTATGAAGCAGCTTCAATAAATCAAACTACAGGTTCCTACATTGATGTACATACAATTTAAATGACCCGGTGTTTGCTGTCATTGGGTTCTTATACCAATCTCTCGCAGGCAGGGCACTCAGTCTGACGGGATTATTTGGCGTCGCCGTTTTGTGACGGGGCGTCGTCCGGGTGGCGCAGCGGCCTTCAATCAAGGAAGACATACTAAGACGTTTGGCCAACACCTCCCAGATCTCACCCGCGGAAGCTTTTGGGACGGCCGCGGAGGTCTCTGACTTTGTCACGGAGAACGCATGGCCACACATGGCCGCCGCCATCTACTCGCTTCTAGGGCACGTGTAGTCGCAGCTGTAGTGCGTGATGCCAGTGGCCAGACGAGCCCAACTGTCATGTCTCCGAAGAATACTGAGAGGGTCCGAAGTAGACAAATTGAGTTGGTCTCATAGTGCTTGCTGCTTGAATGGCTGCCTGACTATCATGCCAGCCAGTCTGGTGAATTCCTCGACCCCGACAGAAACGAAGTCATTGTAACCGAATAGTGTTTAACCGAAAGTTCACCGGACATGTAAAATGCGTTGAAAAATATCAAAGTTCAAAATGGTATCGCAATAGTGCCAGCTGCAATGACCGCACCACGCCCCGAAGCCTCATCGGGAGTGCTGCTCGTCTTAATGATCGGCAGAAGTCATGCCGTCAACAACATAACCCTTGAAATCACGCGCCGGAACTCGTCTATCGAACAGAATATCCAACTCTTCATACGTGCGGCCCATTGTCTCGGGAACACGGAACCAAGCCCAGATGAAGCACAACCCAGCCAAGCCTCCGAAGAAGAAGCCCAGCTTTCCTTGCATATTGGCCTCGTCCGGGTTAATCATGTACGGGATCGCTACGGTCATGATGATTCCCAAGACGCCCTGGGCAGCTGTGGCGAGCGCAATCGTCTTGGAGCGCACTCTTGTGGCTGAAGCCTCTGATATGAGGACGAAGCACACGGGTCCAACGGACAGGTCGTAGGCGAAGTTCCAGATGAGCATGAGGGATGACTCGGCCCAGGCCACGCCAGAGGGACGACCGGGGACGCAATCCAAGATGCCGATGAGGAGCTGCAGGAATACCAAGGCGGCGAGGCCGGTGATGTAGATGGTTCGTCTACCGTAGTGGATCAAGAAGTACCAGGAGATGACGGTGCCAAGGAATCCGACGGCTGATGAAGTTAGCTAAGGCTCATATTCTCGAGGGGAAAGCAAAGGGTCAGCGGTTTACCAAGGAAGCCAATGGCCATGTCGAATGCCTTGTCAGTAGGCAGACCGGCTTGCTGGAAAAAGTACGTCCCGTAGTTGATGAGATAGATGCCGCTGAGGACTTGAGTGCAGTAAACACCCACAGATATTTCCGTCCGCCTCAAATTGGCACCTTTCAAGCAATCGGAATATGTGCTTCCGGCTTCAAGCTCTTGCTCAAGTTTGTCGGTTTCTACGATGAAGGCCAAAGAAGCGTCAACATTGACCTGCTTGGAAGCCAAACGGCCCAGGCTCTTCCTCGCATCGTCCACCCTACCCTTCCTCACCAACCACCACGGACTTTCTGGGACAAAGAGCAATCCTGGGAGGATGACAAGAATCCAGAACCATTGCAGCGCAAAGGGCAAAGAATAGGCCCAATGGGTGTCGAGCTTGGAAGTCCCCGCTGTGACGCCGTTGGCAAGCAGCTGGCCCATGACGAAGCAGAGATTCACGTAGGACGTCAAATGGCCACGGATAGCAGTGGGGCAAACCTCGGAGGCGTAGGCCGGTGCGATGACCACGTACATGCCCAAGACGAGGCCGCCGAGAAGCTCGCCGACCAGGAGGACGGGCAAGGAGCGCGCGAAGAATTGGATGAAGACGATGCCAGCGGTGAGAACCACGCACACGGCAAAGGTCAGCTTCCGGCCGTACCAGTCCATAGGGTACGCAGCGAAGAGGGCACCCACAACTTGACCGACGGGATTGCCCATGGAGAGTCCGGTCTGCCAAGCGGCAGCTGGACACATGTTAATAAGGGAGATGCTTCAGCCCAGGGACTCAAGTCTAAGACATACTAATGATGTACTGTAGCACGTTAGTATAGGGTTCACGTATAAGAGGAGACGACAGCTTACGGAGCCCTCATATTCATAACCAAAATCTCTCTGAAACTGAGGCGTGGCGTAGAGGTTTCCGAGTAATTGCGGATCGAATGCCAACATAATGACCCCGATAGACACGAAAGCAGACCATCCAATGGCAGCGGGGTAGAGCTTGACGGCCTGAGAGAACGTCAAGTTGTGCTCGAGACGAATAGCCTCGGCCAGGGCAGCGTCATCGGTACCGGGTTTCGCATCCGGAGCCACGGCAATGGTCTCGACATCTTTGGACGTCATCGCGGAACTATTACTATAGGATGAAGTATCGGCTCCCCGTAAAAGAGGTTGGATCTCGTCGTCTTGTGCGGCAGCCGTTGCGGATAAGCGCGAGTGTGGGGGAGACATGATGATCTTATTTCCTCCTCAATGATAGCAGCCGTAATGCAGATGACCCGGCCGGGCTTCGCGTCTCAATGAGCGGGCTCCACGGTATCGGGACCCCTCATCCCCGGCAAAGACCGGTGTGAGCCCCGAATGGCCAGACTCTATCGACCAAGGGATTCGGGACCAGGGCACGGAGTGGTCAGCAGGTCTAGAGAGATATGAGAATCTCCGACTCAACAGGGGAGGTGGGGGGAGGTGGTTGGGTGGTATTCGGACTAGCTACGGAGTATGGTGCGTTGAAGATTGACAGGAGTTACCAGGCCCCAAATGAGAGCCAATCCGGGGTAAAACCTGGGCGCACATGCCGCCTTCCGGGCTTATCGGGGAGGTGGGTATGTGGTCAGCTCACGCTAGACCGCTGTGGGATGTTGGAGATAGCGGTCCAACCGTTGTTGCAGTGACCCCCTTGCGGGTGCTTCGAGGTTGGCGGGGAAGTCCTTGGGACAGGATGCCGAGACCTCCTCCCGAGCTTGATTTGACCACTGATCTACCTTCTGCTCACCTTGTCACTGTTGAGAGGTTGCCTTCAGCTAACATAAGATGGTACAGATATCACAAGGTAGATTCGCAAGTGAAGAGCCTCTTCTGGCTTGATATCACGTCGGGGTGATCCTGCATCTCTTTTTATCCTGAAGTTTCAGAACTACCTGACCTTTAATGAAAAGCCCAAACCGATGTGATTCAGCGTTTGATATGAGATGCAATGGTTGTAACTTTCCTTACCATTGGCCCCTTTTGGAATGAGCCTCGTCTTATCACCAATGAGACACTTCACTCTCTGCTTCTCATAGAGCTCGCTTGTTGCATCTCAATAATCCGTGTGAGATGAAATCGCAACCGTCTGATTCCGATCCAGTGTGGTGTTTCTATCGTGACTCACACTGCTGTATACACACTGGCGTTTATATTATTAGATATTGGGGCAAATACTTGTGGTGACATAGATCATTGCGAGGAGAGGTGTTCGTCGCGAACAGGCGGATGAGAACAGGTAACTACGAGTAAGCTAGTATTTCTCTAGAAGGTCGAGATTTTCAGAGCGTTGTGTGATAGTGAGAAGTCGAGAGTTTTCACCGTTTAGCCTTGTCACTGACAAAACCAGCTTCTGAGTAGAATAACCGTGGGTAAACCTCCGTTAAGAGCTCACCGATGGCACATTTGATCCCTCAACTGAAACGGTCTTCAAAGTTGAGGGTGATTGACCACCTTGGCTGAATACCTCAAGTATACATGGAAATGACAATGAGTTAGCAAGCCTTGAAGCGCATGCGTTAAAAGGGGTATCACATCGTATGTCATATGGCTCCGGGAGGGTTTTAATAGATGGGTATTGATATTAGGCCTTGAGAATCCCAAGGTCTTTGAGAACGCTACAACTCTAAGACGAGTCTCCGCCAGACTCCAAATTGCACGTCAGAATTTTCTCCAAACTCCGTCTCTGCACCTCTCTCGCTCTCACGTTTTCGGTACGTGATTCGAATTCCTATCCTCGACTACCAACAAAGAGTCAAAGTGCAGAGTTCTATTTTTCTTCGGTGACGCCGATCTCGTATCCAATCAGAACCTCGGTGCTCGTACCTTCCCAACCGCGCGTTCCTGCAGTTGAGATCATGAAGCGGCATGTTCGATCAATGTAGAGTGAGGAAATGACACCAGCTCTAGGCGGGCCAGGAATAATCAGGAAGGGGACGGTGGAGTGCTTGAAAGCCCGCGTGTCCTTGAGATCATACAGGCGAAGAATATCATGGGAAGCACTGCCTCTATGTTAGCTTGACAATCATTTTTTCACGCCGGCTTTTGATTACTTACCAGACGAGATGGCGGCCATTCGGCATCGCTCGAACCGCACTTACGGCTCCGCTTCCGGCCGGGAACTTGAGAGTCCTCTCTGGCGCCCAGCCACTTCTGGCCTTGTGGATGCTGTACTCCTCCACCGTTCCGTTTCGCCTGCCGGCGTAAATCCAATTGCCGTCAGGACTCCAGCAAGCACCCATACACCAAGGCGGCACGCCTCGTTGACTGCCTATCCTTGCGACGGGGTCTTGAACACGCCGATCCCATATTCTGATATTGCCATCAATGGCTGCGGAGAAGAAGACTGTGTCCGCTGATTGAGTTGGGTCCATGGCCGGGGGAGGAGGATCCGAGGCGAAAATCATGGACGGTGATCCGGGGTTTGCATCATCTGTCTGCATATCAGGTAGAGGAGGGATTTCTGGAAAGTCGGGGACAGGCAGCTGCGCCGTAGCATCGCCCGCGCCGTCTAGCGCCGAGGGACCATCTGTCGCAGTCGTATCTACAGCTGGTGCTGGGGGCTGATTTCTTGCGGCTTCGGGACTGCTGCTTCCTGGTGCCTGGACCGCTGGCGCCGACGTGGCATCGGCGTTGAAGGCATTTGTCATATCGATATCGGCAGAGTGATCCATACCGCCGTCCTGCCCTGAACCATCATGGAGAGTGGGCATTCCCATATCTCCCATCGCCCTCGAAAATTCATCATCGTCATCGCCGCCATAATTGCCTGCGACGTTATCGCCAAAGAGCGAGCCAGTGTCACTGCCGCCAAAGAGCGACTCATGTGCGGGTGACGCTTGTCCTTCAGCGCCCTCGCCAGCCATCGCAGGAGGCGGAGCTTCGATGCCGTTGGTATCGTCTACGGTGCCGTTTTGAGGAGGTTTGCTGTTATTGGACGTAAAGGTTGGGTCTGGTTTGATTTCTTCCTCCATTGCCTCGGCAGGAATTGGTGCACCGTTCACTGGACGAAGCTCGATAGCAGAAGTTTGTCCTCCGCTGCCGTCGTAAGAACGTTTGACAGCGCCAGTATTGAGATCCCAGTCGAAAATGTTCTTGTCCCAGCTGCCACTTAGGACGCTCTTCTCGTCTTGTGCCAGTGTCAACACGCTCACAGCATTAGTGTGTTGTTGCAGGCATGTTATGCGCTTTCCTTCATCGTGCCTTACGCTTTGGAGATTGATGCCACCAGATTCGAGACCTGAAAGTAGCCATAGCGCCTGTGAGTGGACAGCCAATGAGTAAACGGGCGACAGGATGTGTTCCTCGTTCCCTCTTGGGTTCGGTGGTCCTGGTTCCTCATTTTCCCAGTATGACATCAAAATGCCCGCCTTGACGACACTATCGACAAAGGGGTGTCTTTGCGCCACTGTGAGGAGTTGTTTGCCATTTATTGTACCAGGCCCGTCGTACTTCCGGATGTAGCCGTCGGAGCCTCCTGTCATCCAGAACCGAAGATCAGGCGTGATGGCGACTGCGTTCACACTCGTTGCCTGCGGCGCGGCCATCGTAGGCACAATGTCGTACAGTCGGGCATTCACGGCTTCGGGCCGGACGCTTGGGAATAGGCTTGAGGACAGCAGTGGTGATCCGCTCTTTATCCCCGGCGACCCTCCCGCGCCAGCCGAGCCAGCTCTAGAAGGCACTCTTGCATCTCTTGTGGCTGCGTCGTCACCCTTCTCTTGCGCATCATCGCCCGTCTCCTCACGATCGTTATCCTCTTGGTCGTCGTCGTTGTCTTCCTCCTCGTTCTCCATGTCTCCCTCTGCATCGTCTACATCCTCCATGACCTCGTCCTGGTCATTCTGGTCGTTCTGGTCATTGTCGGAGCTCGCGTTTGAGTCTAGGTTGCCAGGGCAGGTCAGCGGGGTTTTAGGAAATAGTACAAGGCTCCGAGACATACCTCTATCATCGTCATCCATTTTGAAGCTTCGCTATGTAGAAATGCGAACAATGCACAGCTATGAAGTCGCAAGCAGACACCTGGAGGGTCGCGCAGAAGGTCCGCGGCGTTCGCAGGGTGACGCCGGGGTCGGAGAAGCGGTTAGGTTCGTTCGCGACTAATTATGTATATTTGAGATGTCGCCACGCGGAGAGTTTCGTTCCATTCCAAATATTAAAAGAGGTCTGTCAACAAAGTTGGCGGCAATGGGTTGTGGAAGATGGGTGGCTGGTGGACGCTACTAATGTTCGTTGCGCATGCAATCGTCGCGAAAGCTGCGGTCGCGACGACGTGCTAGGTTGGAGCACCTCAGCAGCTCAGCTCGGTGGGGCCGCCCTGATGCTGTGCGTCCACTTCTATGTATCACCTGTGTGCCTGTGCTGTGCGCCTCGCCAGGGCAGTTTAGCTCTCGATTACGGCGGGGAGACGACAAGGTTACCAAGCCTAGTCGCGCTAGCATCCCCTGGAGCACCGCCGCCGTATCCCCTATCCGTACGAGAGCGCTCCGGAGCGGAAGCGCCGCCGGTTGATTCGGCCGGGCAAGCCGTTCCGGCAGAACTTCGGCGCCGCCCCATTGGCGATCCGCCGGAACCACCGGTCTCTCAACGACCTCCCAACTACACCTCCGCCTTGAGGATCTCTAAGATTTCTCGCGCCCGATGCGCGATATTATCCATATATTTGCAGCTTTGACAAGTGTCCTAGCATGACAAGATCGTCTCCAGTCCACCTTGTACTATGGCACATCTAATCTGCCTCAAAACAACGGACAATCATGGTTTCTCTCTTATCGTCCCTGGTCATTCACCATTCTCTCTCATGACCTATGCGTTTGATGCTGTCTGGAACTAGGGCCAGGCAGAGTGTGTACATTGTTACATTCCGCACGGCTCAGCTGCGTTTGCATCAAACCCGTTGCAGCCTCTATGCCACGCAGGGCCCTTCCAAGCATGTTGCGGGTATCTTTGTTGCAAGGTTTGTAACTTCGCTTGATGGTTTTGCCAGGCTCTCATGTAGGAACCCGTCGCTGCATAAATAAGCCTCTTGTCAAGCCTGCGCTGTCCTGCAAACGTTTGAGATAATGTAGGCAGTTCACCGCTCTCAACAAGCTAGCTTGTCAGGAGTTTTTATTTTACAATCATTGTATTCTCCTTCCCCTGGAAACTGTTGTGAGTCTCGATTTGTTCAACTCCGTGGCGGACCCTCTCGCTTTATGTGTGGTCAACCGCCCTCTCCATGTTAAAGCATAGCCCGTCGATTAACACAGGCCCATCGGGCCTACTCCAAAAACCATTTGTTTCAAAACATGTATGGTTCCTCAGCTAGAAGCAAGTATTGTACCTTATCCGAGGCTCAAAATACTTTCTTCAGTCACATAACCAACTACGTTTCTCACCTCACGGTCTTGGAATACTGACCTACCTCCAGGACTGTACTTGATCATGTCCCAGAAACCGCCCCCTGACCGTAAAATCGCAACCATCTCGCCTCATACCCGCCCACACTCTGAGATGAGTTGGCGCGATATACCCGAAGTGCCACGGGCAGAGGAGATCATGAAAGAAGCCTGCATACTCCCAAAGAAGAGCGGCCTAAACGCCGTCTACCCGGCGAAAAGCGCATATCTCCGGGCCCAGTACGACCTCCTACGCTTCGAGGGCGTCGAGCCTCTCCGCAGAGCCGTTCAAGAGTACAAGTCCGCGCCAGAGATGGCAGAGAACACTGAGGCATCCATATACACCGATGTAAGCAAGTCTTGCCAGAACTATATCATGAAAGTGGATCTAAATAGGAAATACAAAAAGGTCTTTGTCCGCGGAGTCAACATCATACGCCTCGGAGTCATGGTCCGCGTCACCTTCTCCGCCGTCCGCGCACGACGGCTCATCAACTGGCCAGCATCTCAGCGTGTGGTCCCAGGCACGATAGTAGCCCTGTCTCCAGCTTCGGATCGCTTTAGAGCACAGTGTATTGTGGCAGTGGTGACGGGTCGCTATGACGAACTTGCTGGCAGTTCATCGGCGCCTCCTCCTCTGGATCTGGAATTTTCCGATCCTGGCATCACGGCCGGCTTGATGGAGCCAGACCAGGAGTATGTCATGATCGAAGCCCGCTCCAACTACTTTGAAGCCGTTCGACACGTTTTGGAAAGCCTCAAGCAGTCGGCAGAAGACGAGTAAGGCAAGAAGAGATTCTGGAAGGGGTCGTTGAGCTGATGTGCGTTTCCAGTTCACCATTCGACAAGTACTTCGTCGGCCAGCTGAACACCGACGGCATGCCTAGTTCTTTCTCGCCCTCCTCCACCACACTGGATATCTCAGCCCTCCACGATGGTCTCCAACGCCCACAACTCATCCACATTCCTATCCAAGGCGACGTTCCCAACAACATCCAACAGAAAACAAGACTAGATCAATCCCAGCTCCGAGCCCTCCAGCGGATGACGAACAAAGGAGCTCGCAATAGTCCAAGGCCCCCCCGGAACAGGCAAAACACACACGTCCATGGCCGCGCTCAAGGTCCTGCTAAGCACACAACGCTCCAACGTCCCTATCATCGTCACAGCCCAAAAGAACGACACCGTCGACGAGCTCCTCTTCAGATGCCAACAGCTCGGCGTGGCCTTTGTACGCCTCGGCGGCCAGGCTAAAGACGAGGTCATCGCTAGCCGGACGCTCTTTAACCTCCGCACGCGATCTCGCTGCAAGACGTGGAGCAACAGCGCGCTCGAGAAACGTCTCATCTCTCTCAGGTCTCAGGCGAGGCTTCTCCTTCAACGCTGCTTCCCGCCCGCTCACCAGCAGCTGATCATGCCGGAGCACTTTCGGGAGGTTGGCTTGATCAGCGCGGAGCAGCATGCCTCGGTCATGAAAGGCTGGGACGGCGACCCCAAATCCATCGCCCGAGAGGGATCCCGACACCCGCTCGGGTCGTGGATCGGTGATCATCTGCTTTCCAGATGCCACATAGGAGTGTCCACGTTCCTCTCAGCGATGGTGTTAACGATGACGAGGCAGCCTCAGGGTCCGGCATCAACGATAAAGGGTCTGCTTGCAACAAGAAGGAGCAGTTATCAGGCAAACCTATCCCAATCGCGCGCTGGAATAGCATCAAAGACTCAAGCGGTGTTGTTGTTGTTGTCAGCGACAAGCTGGCACAAGAGCTGCTCGCGCATATGGTCGATTGCGCCTGAGTATCGCGGCATGGTATACCAGCACCTCGAACGTCGATACATCACATCAACCATGCTAGTCCTCACCGCAATCTTCAAGCAGCTCGACAACGTCGTCAAGAAGCTCAAAGTAAGCCGCTGGCAAGAGGACATCACCGCCATCCCCGACTCAAAGGCCCGCATTATAGGCTGCACGACAACAGGCCTCACAAAGTACCGCAAGCTCATCGCCGCGCTCCACCCCCGCGTCATGATAATCGAAGAAGCCGCCGAGACGCGCGAGGCAAACATCACCGCCGCGCTGTTCTCCTCCCTGGAGCAAATCATCCTCGTCGGCGATCACATGCAGCTGGCGCCCCACGCCGACGTCCTGGAGCTCAGCAAGCCCCCCTACTATCAAAACGTGTCTCTGTTCCAGAGGCTCGTGGAGCGCGGTTTGGAGCATTCCACCCTCCAGGTGCAGAGACGCATGGCGCCCGACATTCGCAAGCTGCTGAGCGCGTGGTACCCTCTCCTGGTAGACCACCCTTCGACCTTAGATCGAGAAGCCGTCCCGGGCATGGGCTCAGAGAGCCTGCTGTGGTTCAACCACCAACGCCCCGAGTCATCTAACCGGTACTGCAGCAAAGTCAACACTTTCGAGGCCGACATGATTGTCGGGCTGTACAACCATTTAGTGTCCAACGGCACAAGCCCCTCAGAAATCACCGTCCTGACCTTCTACAGCGGACAAAAGGCCTGTATCGAGAACGGCCTCCGCCAAACCTCAAGCGCCGGCCGCCTCGGTCCCGAGGTCCAGACCGTAGACGGGTACCAGGGTAGAGAAAACAGCATCATCCTCATCTCCATCACCGGAAGCTCAGGAGACCGTACGAAACCGGACGCGGGCTTCCTCAACGATCTAAGGCGCGCCATCGTCGCCCTCAGCCGGCCCGACACCTTCTGATCATCCTCGGAGACATGCAGAATCTGCTAGCGTCATCGGCTCGACCCATCTGGAGCGAGGTCTTGAACAGGATGGAGGCACCGCCCACGGACTACATCCCCGTCTTCTGCAAAGCGCATGGGAGTGAGATTCGTATCCGGCAGCCGGGTGACTGGGCAAGACTTGCGAGTAAAGGAGGCTGTAGTATGCGCTGCGGGCGAGCGACGGGTGCACGAGGAGCAATATGTTGCCGAAAGTGCCACGGGTACGTTGGTCCCAAGCCTTTCGAGGAAGAATGCTGACTGGATCTGGTGTTTAGAGGTACTTGCAAGCCCATGTTCAGTGACACGTTCACGGACAGCAACATGCGGGCGATTTCTCAGCTCCCCAGTGCGACGAGCATCTTGAGCCCTCTAGAGCAGGAAGTTCTCATAGACCTTAGCGGTTTCTAGGGCGGTCGGCTGAGAGGCACGCCTGGAAGTAGATAGACAGAAGTGAAGATTTGGAAGATGGTCTCAAGAGTCGTCCCGCATACGGCATATGAGACTGACTGAAGACTGACGTCAAGAAGAGCAAGGCGAGGCCGCCGGGGCAGATCACAGACCCAGGTAGTAGCAGCTTGAGGACGACAAAATGTAGCAAGTTCCGATGGTCTAGCCCGAGACCTTTCAACGAACATGGACCTGCATCAAACTTAATGACGAGTGAAGCATGGCCCGAAGTAAACCAATCAGAATCAGATGTGATGAGCCAAGTCAGCGCGAATACGTCTCCATGGACACGGCTCAACCACCCAGTCTTCCCTTCCCAAGATGATGCTCGCCATCGAACCATCGAGTCGACGTCAAAAGCTGCCAAGAGTCAACCCGACATCATGGCGCAACCGCTTCGCGGCCCAAGTAACGGTCCAGTAACGAAAGAAGTTTTGCGAGAGAAGAGAGAAACAAAGCCCTCGGACGATGTTGTTTCCAGAAATGTTTCCCGTCCGTCTTATCGATAGCTTATCGTGCATTGCGAGATGGAAGTGACCTTTCAATCTTCTTTGCCTCAGGCCATGAGGCTCCCCTCCCCCTTCCTTCGACACCAGTACCACGGTCATAAGTTGCAAGAGACCGCACTTACATTTACCTGCACACCCCCCTCCTCTTTGGTAAAGGCATCGAACAGACCTACCCACACAGCACGAGGCGTCCGGGATGGTAGGGGCCACACCCGCTGCGGGCTACGGCAGCGCAGTCCTAGGGCCCCCGGGAAGCCGTCCAGCGGACGCGAAAATTTTCTTTGCATTTGGCACGAGCCGGGAATGGAGACAGAAACGGCTGGGAGTTCTCCTTTTTCTCTTTATCCAGCTGTGCATGGTAGACAATTACTACCTCTAGTGTATATAGAGATCGGCTCGAGGCGAGTCCGGGTGTATTACATCCACGTGTCCCACTGCACGACATATCTAGCTTTTCTTCATGGCAAGCTTGGTCGAGGACAAAATTCGGCAGGGACCTCGTTTCTCACCGTTTCTGTTTGGGGCGTTTTGGTCTGAGAAAGAAATCTCGAGATGAAGGTTAAGCCAGTCGCCATCGTCATTGACTCTTCCTCAACCCGATCGCAAGTCAATTGCGTCGTCTGAGTGGTCAATGCCATTGCTCATCCCATGATTCTCGTCCCGTAACGACGGCTATGGGAGACGAGAGCGAGTGTGCTCGTGGACCATCTACAATCTTGCAGACCAATCGATCTGCCGGGCTGTTACGCGCCCTGCTCACCACATCATCGGGAGACTTGGGTGGTGTTCATCTTTCCATACATAATGCGAGTGAGTCGGACGAACCTGGGTTGGCCACAAGCAGACTGCAGTCAGCTGTCATACAGCAATATCGACAACAAGATCATGGCGACGAGAAAGCTTCAACGCTTTGGTAGGACAAGTCGCCCTGCTCATCAGACATTCCATCAAGGGGAAGAAGGAATGTGAGGATAAGTGAAAGGCCCCCGGTGCCGCCAAAGGAGCAAGATGAGTGATGCTGCGGGGATGGAATGTGCCTCAGGCAATTGAGGCAGAGAGATACGAACCCGTTGACTGTCACAGTCACACCCCCGAGCTCTCGGCAATCCTGGGGGCCAGCCAAGGCTCCCTTCCGCCCAACCGCCGTGCCGCCCTAGCATGACGGTGCAGCAACTGACACCTGCGTTGGCTCGATCCGAACGTCCAATTCCCCCCCACCCCCGCGTCGATCAACAGAACCCGGGCTCCGCTGAAGAGCCGTAGTCTTAACACGCCCCTCCAAAGAGGGAAGGGCAAACGGGGAAGAACACAACCTTGGTACAGGTCCATCTCATAGGGCTGAGCTAGCATCTTCAACAACCTCTTGCCAGCGCCATCACAGCTTCACAGGCCACGACCATTACGGAACTGTCACTGCTGTTGTTTTTTTAGTCACATAATATCTTGTATAAGCTTGCCATACTCAGTTCGCTAGAAATTGCCCGACAACCCTGGCGGGTGGTTATTGACGGTTGACACACATTGAACTTAAGACCGTCCTGTCCTCCTAGTGGAGGAATAGCTGCCGTACCACCACTGAAAACCACCCAACAACAAAGCAGCCATAGTCAATCTTCAGACTATCCTAGCGACTCAGCCATGTGCTGATACATTGGCCGCAAACGTAACCTGTCCTGACCCGAAACCGATTGTCCTTTGACCAAAACTGATGGAAAGGGGGTATGATGACCAAATGAGCCAAATGCAAAACCAGAGAAAGGAGATTGTGATGGAGTGGGGTGACAAGACTGGGGTAATCAGATTTCTGTCGCACTCCGGGTATCATGGTAATGTCCCTAATGCTCTGATGTGGTGAAAAGGCTGTGTGTCCGTGATGTGATGCCGCATGCGTGATGAAACAGACCCAAAATATCAAAACCGAGTGAAACCTGATTCCGCTCTCGCTGAACAAAAGAAACACGCAGGAGGCAAGTATACCGTATCCCACGATACTGGAACTAGGAAATCCGGGTGTAGAGACCAATCCAAAACCTAAATCGCTGTATGCATAGAAGTGCCCCAAAAAAGGAAAAAAAGAACGAGGAGATAACTTGAGTTGTTCTCATGTGTCGTATGTCGTAAGTCTATTCAAGTCATCGTAAGAGTAGCGTCGTGGAAATAGTTTCGAAATATGACGCAGGTAAATATAGGTATACCAGAGTCAAACACCACGGATCATGCCAGATGATTCATGGTTCTGAAGAACAAGATGCTTGGACTGTTCAGAGAAATTTGGCCGTCCACTTGAGGTCTAGCCAGCCGACCTTGTCGAAGGCTGTCCAAAGCTTAGAGGCTTTGTTGACATCAATCTTACAGGCCTGCTGAGCGTCCGTCTTGCGGAACTCCTTGCTAACCTTTGCACACTCGACCCGACGGACGAAAATGCGTCGCTTGCTTGTAAGATAAGTGGCACAGTCTAGCCGAAGGTTGGCGGCAAGGCTAACCTCGTCAGGGTGAAGTAAGTGGACGTTAGGGTCGTCGCTGAGGTCGATGGGAGCACCCTTCCAGTCTACCTTCAAGCAGTTGGGCTTGTCTGGCAGTGAGGTGGCCGGAGGGCAGTAGTCAGGAAGAGCAGTAAAGTCGCGGTCCTCTCTGTTTGGTGCCACGACACGACGAGTAGGGTCTGGAGTCGAACTAACACGGCGAGCATGGCGAGTCGGAGGGCTGTTGCGGATGGGCCGGGGAGCCTGGGGCTTGCCAACACGTTCAGGCTTTGGGTTTGAGGATGAGGGAATCCTAGGCTTGCTGACTGCTGATTTGGAGGCCTTTATGGGTGCGGACTTGGCTGGGGCGATGTTCTGATATCGCACGACGCTGTTCCACCGGGCGTGGTTCAGCTTCCGGTCGGCTCTGACCTGGTCTCTCTCCTTCTCGTACCAAGACTTCCTCTTAGTCGCAAAGAGTCTCATGACCTGCGACTTGAGTTGCAGGGCTAATTCGTAATCTTCTCTGAGAGGAGGCGAGCCCTCGCGGAAAAGGCCAGGAGGCCGCGTAACAATGTGTTCGTCGACAATGCGCCTGTGTTCGATGGATTCGGTGCTGGGAAATAGAGGTGGCTGTGTCGGACTCGAAGCCGCCTCCTCACGAGGGTACAAGATCGGATCCTTTGCAGGTGTTCCAGGAATGATTACGTTGCTGGACTCTGTGATGTAAGGCGAGACTGGAGGCGACATGGGCATGTGGGGCTTGGTCGATTCGTTGGCTTGAGAAGCACCCGATACAATCTGCGTCTTGATTTGTTGACCTTGGCTGAAGCTGTCGTAGGGAATCGGCTCTGGAGGAGACATTAGATTGCTGATGTCGAAATTCCTCTTCGGCTCGCGAGCCATCGTAGTGGCTTGATGCGGCGTCATGTTGTAATTGGGCTCCATCGCTTGTGAGATTGAGGCTGACGAAGACGGTTGCATCCTAGAGAAGTTGAATGGGATTTGGGGAGCGTGAGCTGAGTCAAAGGTTCTTGTAGGTTGCGGAGCGGCGGTATGGTTGGGTTTGTCAGCCATATTATATGTTATTGGTGGCGAGGCGAAGTATGGAGATATCGGAGTTGGGGTCTTTCGGGTGTAAGGGAAGCCGGTGGACAGCGGAAGAACAATTGCGTGTTCAGGGCTGAAGAAGGATTTGAAAAAGCAACTTTTTCGCTCTCAGCGTCTGACTGCCTTTGAAAGAGATTAAATTGACCAGAAGTTGGTTTGATTGTGTTAGGAGGAGCGAGGGCCGTCAGTGGGAATTTGTGACCCAACTGATGATGACGTTCGCTGCGGGAAGCTTGTTTGAGTGTCGCTTTACTGCGGTCGGGTGCTGACGCAGCCGTGCTGAAAATGGTGGACAGTGGGAGCAATGCAATCGACCAGTTACTTTTGCGCTCGATGACAAGCACAAACCTCCATTAACTTGAATTGATTCAACAGTGGACAGAAGTGTGCGTCAATGTCAAACGAGGAGCGAGAGGGCACCGAATGGATAAATACTGTTGTTCGGGGCGGGGCGAGGCGACCGAAGCGAATTGATATCTGTGTGGAGGGGCGGGTTGGTGGCGGTATTTACCAGCTGAGAGGTTTCGAGTAGTGGCGATGAATGCTGGGCAGAAGAACGGCACAGTTTCGAGAGCTGGATATGTCGATGTTTGGCACGGTAAACGGGGAGGACTGGTGGAAAAGAAGAGGAAGAAGGGAGCGCAAAGTGTGGCTCGGTGGGCAGCAAGACGAATAATAAGGACTGGTCTAAAGCGAAGCCTGGCGCAAAGTGGATGATGGATGACTGAAGGAGGAGAAGTGCAGGCAGATGAGTACGAGTGAGTGAGTGAGTGAGTGAGTGCCAGGTCAGGTTGGGCAGGAGGATGAGGACAGGATGAGGAGGAGGAGGAGGAGGAGGAGGAGAAGGAGAAGGAGTAGGGTGAGGGGAGTGAGGTAGGGTGAAGAAGATGGAGACGGGGGGAGGGCGTGCAGGGTGTCACAGTCCACAGTGGATGTAAGTACCGAGCGGTACCAGGCAGGACCTTCGGGAAGATAGAAGACGGGAGACGGTCGGGGGAACTTTCAAGGCACGAACGATGCCTGGAGCGAATCTACCTTGCCGGACCTGGAACATTCAGGTAAGAGAACGGGTCACCACTGAACAGCACAGAACGGGATCGTTGGAGTAGAGGAGGCCGAAACAGAGAAACAGAGGTTCCCGATGACCCTGCCATGTCTGCCACCCACTGCTTACCTGACCGTACTCCGTAGACAGTAAGATACCTTAGGTAGACCGGCCCTGGAGTGACAAGAGACGGGATAGAGAGAAAGCGAGAGCAAAGTCCGGTGGGAGGAAGGACAAGTCTCTTTCCCTTCCCTCTTCCTGCTTTAGGTGGGTGTTTGGGGTCTTCAGGTTGTTCTGGCTGGGAAAGAAGAAGAGTCACTCATCAAGATGATAGTCGCACACCCCTTGCGACTGGCCCACCTAACTGTCTTTTCCTGCACCCGCTCCTTGTCTGAATCATCTGTGTAACCCCACACCCCCCAGTCCAGCTCAACACGCCCTCTATTTGCGTCCAGTGAGCGATACGTTGCCTTGCGGGCTTACCCAGTCAGACCGAGCCACACCTCACCACTCATTTTCCGGGCATTGCACTCTGATATGATTTGTTCAAGGCAGAAGTCGAGGAAACCCCCAGAAGTGAGCATGAGTTGTTGATGTTGTTGGAGGTGTTGTTTTGGTTGTTGTTGTCATTGTCGCTGTACCTAGCCTCTTGTCGCACAGGACCTTGCTTTGCTCCTGCTTCTTCATGCGCTATCAAGACTAAGGGAACTATACAGGCGGAGGGTGTGTCATTTATTGCCTCGATACCATTCCACACTTTACCTGCAGAGTCTACGGATACTTGGGCTTAGAAAGCACAAAGAAATCTGGAAAGAGAAGGAAGGGGGTTTGTGTCACAGTGGCCTTGGGCATTAAACACTTGAACATCCCAGCACCCCCATGTACCCCATCCTCAGAGGTACATGCTTCCGCAATCGATACCTCCCCACTCTCTTCTGCGCACCTCATCCTCTGCCTTTATGTCTCTAAGCGCCTGGTTTCCATCTACGCACTTGGACTGCTGGGTACCTTGCCTCGATCCAATGGCTGCTTATGTTCCTCAATCACAAAGACGGCTTAAAGTCAGGTCGCTCAAGGCATTCGACCTAATCTTCAGCCATGGAAAGGAAGGTACCTAAACTAGTTAACGTAGTGGGTAGGCAGCCAGCCTCTGCCCCTCCCCCGCTGCCCCTCCATGCAAACGTTTGGGAAGAACGAACGACCTTGGGAAACCAACCTGACGACGAAGCGCTTTGCTGCCATTCTTCGTCATATTCCAACCAACAAGACACAATTCGCTGCAGTCGCAAGAGAGTACCTAGATGGATTGAAATAGACCTGCTCGGTTTGACAACGTCAATGCCGGCGGGACGAACGGGCGGTAGAACCATTGACTTTGACAATGCCTCTCAATTGAGTCTCGCAGGGGTCAAGTACCTAGGTGGTCTTTGCTCCCTCTCTGTTCTGTGCCTCACCATAGGGTAGATTAGGTACAGAGGTACTTGGTGATGATGGTGTGCCTCGGGGCGATGAGCGACGGAACCGCATCCGTTCCTTCTCTCTCCTCACCTGATGCCACCACAAACAACACCGCTTCTGGCATCATGTCAATGGCCCCGTCATGGCGTTTGAGAACCTGGAAACCAACCCTCTTTTACCTCCGTGCCGTGCGTGCCCTCTCTCTCTCTCTCTCTCTCTCTCTCTCTCTCTCTCTCTCTCTCTCTCTCTCTGCCCAGGAAACGAACGAACGGTCAAGTCTCTTGGTGGACAGGCACGACGGGCTCAACAACGAACCTACGAACGGTGCATCTGACGGCACGTAGCAGAGGTGTGTGTCAAACGAGGTGGGCGGGTGACAGCCTGTCTCTCATTCTGGGTCTCGAATCCGAGTCACTTGCTCGCCGCCAGACGCCCAATCAGCCTCAGCTTCTAGCTTCCAACGGGCTCTGGGCCACGCCCCCCAAAGTCCTCACACACACAGGCTCACTCAGAGACTAGAGTTGATTCCCCATCTGGCCCGGCCCAATCAACTCCGCTCTCGCTGCCGTACCTGATCGATACCTAAGACTGGGGCCATACGATGAGGAACAGCCCGAACAAGGCGGTTACTCCATTTCATATGAACAGCCTGCTGCTGTGTACTACAGTGAATTCAGAAAACGTCCCATACCTCGCTCTCCACCGACTGCCACTAGGCAGACAGACAAAGTATCAGGAGCCTAGATCGAAGGCAGTATTACTTGGACGCGGAAAGGTACTAATAACAGGTAGACAAGCACAGACGCAGGCTGACAGTCGATATGGCGCTGCCATTGACGATAGTTAAAGGAGGGGCGGGCTGCCTTATCCTCGTTGAGAAGAAGACGGGATGGCACGGGAAACGTACCAAAGTTCCACCAGCCAAGCAGGAGCGTCGTTAAGCTTTCGGCGGTGGTGGTCAGTCTCGACAGTGCCCGTCTCATCACTTCTATTATTACAGTGGTAATCATGTGTGAGCCGAGCTCACCTCGACTACTGCTCATAGATTGACCAGCGGGGGGGGGGGGGGGGGGATGAATTGAGTTGAGGTATGGGTCTTTCTTCCGACACTCGTCCGAACTGACGCTGTGCGTGAGTTGCTTGGATCCAAGACTAACAACCAGCTCCATCAGCAGCAAGAGGCGTGAGTGTGATTGCGACAATTATGGGCATTTGGCATGGCTTTTTGGGGCCTGGCCATGCAACCTTGCCAAGGCCTAGCGAATCTGATGAGGGGCAGAAATCAGAAAGACCCAGACAAACGCACAAAGCGATGCAGTAGGTAACACAGTAAGTACAGTGCAGGGGATGCCTGGTACGAATCTCGACGCAAGGTACCTTGCTTTACTTTACCACGGCGCATTGGATTGGTTTATTGTGCACATTGGCCTCAGAACCGTGGAGCAAGAAGAATGTTATCCGTACACCAAGCATCATGGCAGAGGTGGAGAGAATTGGGAGACTAGTTGCTTCTGGTGAAGTTTTGCTTGGAAAGCATTGTCGCATTCGATGTGCCACACGTTGTGACTCCAGATTGGCCTGGCACGCCTGGACAGACTGTATATGACAGGGAACTGGCAGGCATGGCACGCAAGGCATTGTGCAGAAAAGAAGGGCAATTTTACGGTATGTGATGCAGCAGCCGTGTTGTTAGCCGCAGGCAAGGCAAGGGGGCCGTTTGTCGGCGAATTCAATTCAACCATGTCAACAAGTCGGGCAGAATCAGGGACGACGAAGCAGTCAATGGATGGATCAGGACCATGGAGCCGCAAAAGGCAAAGGCGGGCAACGGCGCAGACAGGATAGACACGGCGGGCTGGGTTGGCCGCTGGTCCCTTGTCCCCTGGATGATGAACGAGGATCCCGTCGATTCGGTCAAGACACACCTTGACACTCAAGTTTTCCCTTTTGGCTGATGCCGCTGATGCCAGTCGCTGCAGGAAGCGTGGCAATCGGCAACGGGATGGCACAAGAAGGAGAGGCGAACAGGGCGTCCATGTTGGGCAGTTGCAATTGACCAATGGGTGGGCCCATTGACCGCTCAATTGCGCATCAGAGGCTCCATTTTCGTGCCTGGAGAATGTCAATCTTGCACATTGGTTTAGCTCCGCAGACTCTGAGAACTGGAACTAAAGGACGGGTCCAAGTCAACATGCTAAAACACACAAACGCAGCTCGGAAACGGAGTGACGGAATGGGTGAATGAGGAGGAGAGGCAGACAACAAAGTGCGCAAAGTGCGGTGAGGGCGCGTAAGCCTCACAGCTAATGGGAGACCTGACAGGAAGGTCAATTGACAACCTTGAGGCAATGGGCGGCCTCCCACGTGCGGTTGGCGTGAGTTGGCCTGAGGTGGTTTGATTAAGTTACGGCAGCTCTGGTATACTTACCTTTCAATGTCTGAAGTTGGCATGCCTTGTTTTGAGAAGCAGGGCCAAATGAACACTAGCACCAATAGCAACAAAACAACGTTTCCTGTCCAACTCAATGGGACGGTAATCCTCAGTAACAGGCAGAGATGCACAGCAGTGAAATGCACTGTACAAAGTAGAGGCGGGGGGTATCGACGGTGGCGATGAGGTGGACTTTGGGCGGGATGGCGCGGCCAGCGGCCAGAGTGGCTCTTCCATGTGCGCAGAGTTACGAAATGCAGGAGTCACCAGTTGGGTTGTGTGAGTCACAGGGAAAAAGCGACTCTGAATTTGATGGATCACGGAGACTTCCCTTGGACTCTGGAGTGCTTGTGTGCTTCTCGTTGGTCTTGCCGCGCCTCAAGCCGAAACACTTGACCCCTGTAGCTCAATCCGGCCTAGCGTGATCGTCGTTTATCGATAAGACGTCACGGCAATGGTGGGGCCAGCTGCACCTGCCCTGCGCAGTGCGGGCTGTGGCCTACGAATACCAGCAATTTTTGACAAGACTGGAAAAGGCAAGTACCGCTTGGGATCGGGTACTTCCTGTTCTTTGTTCGTGATCCCTCCAGATTGTTACCATTGGAAAGTGCCATTTTAACCTTTTGTACACTTACAATCCATGGAAAGTAACTACCTGAACTGCCAGGCACCGTCCCTTCCAGGGCCTATTATATCTCACTATAAGGTAAAGTACGATGAGGTAAGGTAGGCGCTCGGTGATGCTTCAACGTCTATCGTCTTCCACGTCCTTCCATTCGATGGATTCGCGAGGAATCAATGACCCGAGCAAAGCAACAACGACGCGAGCCCGCATCTCTGGATGCCCCTCGTCAGTCAACAAGGCCCCGGTCTGCCCATTGCCAAATCCCTGTCCTTCAATGCCTGAGATGCGTCCAGCTCATCCCGAAGAAGGACCTTGCATGGCAACGCACCCAGCCAGCCCCCAAGCCAAACATCTCACCCAGCAATGTGTCCAGCTCAGCGCTTCCAACGCCATCCCATCCTTATTACACCCCTCTTCATAATCCCCATCTCTACCAGCCATGAGCCCACGAATAACTACTCTTCGGCACAGCCACACCTGCCATATCTGCTCTTCACAGTACTCCGTGGAAGAAACAGCACGGGTCAATTCATCTGCTTTTTAAAGAAATAGAGATGGGCCAATGACGAATTCCAAAGTGGCAGAGCACACCTCGATCTCACGACGCATCTGTCGCAGACACCCACCACCCTTGTAGGAGAGGTATCGGAGCTATCGTCCCCTTGGAATGACTGCATGCGCAGACTTCTGGAAGCCCGAATACCGCAACGGGGCAAGACCTAAATCCTCCGATGCCCCGAACTTCCCGGGAGGACGAGCGGCGTCACCATGGAATGGAGGATTTAATGGGAGTTCAACAATGACTGTGGCAGCAACAAGTGACGACAACGGGGCCCCGGGGTTAATACACATTTGTCAGTAACATCTCCGTCGCTACCGCCCAGAGCACTGCGACGTCCCTGGAACAAAGTACAATCGCAATGTCTCGCACCTGCGGCCCCAAGGTAAGACCAAAGGAGACTGGCGAGCGAGTCTGAAGATGGAAGATCTTGGGTTACCGAACTTTCAGGATCAAGCGGTAGGCAATGTGCAACTGAGTCGCTGTTGAGGCGACTTCCTGAGATGAATGCCTCTCGTCTTGGTCTAGGAAGCCTTGAGATATCCAATTCGTCACAAGGACATTGGATGATACCCAAAGTTTCTCTTTGCGCTTGCAGCGATGGCTTGGTCGATAAGTTGCGGAGGAGACGGCGGGAACCCAGAACCACTTCTCGCCAATGACCAGTGCCCTCTCGGCAGCAATCAGAGGCGCAATTGATGCTGGCTGCCTGCTTTGAATCCGAGGCGCGGTTCTCGCGGGTAGCAAAGGCAACGAGACATATGGAGTTTGACTAGCCGGGCCGCTTTGAAATCTTGAGAGAGCCCAGATCATCGCCCCCAGATGGGCCCCCAGATCAAAGATGCCCCCAAGGGCACCAAGGACCCCAAGTGGCGAAAGGCGCACTGTGTCCAACGGTCTAACTCAGTCCAGGTAGACTCATTACTCTGTTAGAGCATCAACGGAAACTTATCGATAGCGGGAACGTGCGCTATCAGTAGCAGCCGCCGTGCAGCAGCACATCACCAGGCCCTCGGGTGGTCGGTGGTGGTCAGGTTCATCCTCGTTGTCAGCTGGCGTCCACAATCTCTACACTACACCATAGCCTCTACTCACTACTCACTATGGTCGTCCATCAACCTGAGATGGTGTCAATGACATGCTCGACGACCACACCCTTCCCGACCAAGACTACGGCCACATGACTGCCCCCCAAGCCCCCTCCTTGCCACCAACGGACCGCGTACGAGGTGGTGGTCTCGTGGGATGGACAAGACGCGCCGCTTGAGGGGGCTTGCGGGCAGGCATGAGACGGCAGCAACGGCGTGCTCTGGCGCGGGTTCCGTTTTTCCAAACCTCGACCTCCGCATCCTGGCTCGTAGCCCGACGGCGCATTGTCGTCATATCGTTCGTTCCCCTTCGTGGGTTTGATTGCCTCACCGTTGTAGTAGCGAGATGATCACGAGGCCCGGATCTCAAGTGAAACCACCATACCACACCATGTCCTACCATTGACCTCTTATCTCTCGACAATGGCTGGCGATAGCTATCGGTATACCTGGGACTTCGCCGTAGCGTGCCCGTTGATGGATCAGGCTTCGCTCACTCTGACCCCCCCTGTTTCCCAATTGGACCCCATCAGATGCCAAAAAGGGTGCTCGGAATTGACCACTTCTACTGGCCTCACGCATACCGCACTTACCCACGAACTTGGCGACTTTTCGCGGCACTAAATTGCGACATCAGCAGTCCAGTTCCTAACACCCTCCTGGCGTCTCCCAATGAGTTGAGCGACATCGCAAGGCAAGGGATGACGGACGCTTTCTTGCCCAATTCTCCCGACAAGAGGGGAGGGACAGAGAGGAGGGGTCAAACAAAGATGGCGGTCAACGGAGTCGAAGTGTTGGTCCAACCTGGAACTCGTTCTCATGTTCATCTCGGCCGCGGGCACTGATTTATCGACGAGACGCGCGATACGCACCGCCATGATCACATACCGCCTTGATTGGTTCAACATTGTTGGTCCAGCGCCACTTCCAGTCCCTTTTTCCTTGATCTTCATTTCTTCTTCGTCTTTGCCTCGCCTTAGCTTGCCATTAAGTGCTGGATCTAGATCTTGTCACAGGGCAGCCAAGTGCGGTCGGCCAATGCCGCCGACAATCCCTCACTGTCCGCCGCCACAAGGAGGGGCATAAGGGTGAAGCGGTGGTATCGATATCCAGCCTCCTTATCACCCCTCCTTCTAGATAGCTGCCTTATCTTATCCCATCCCAACCGCTCCCGCATCCCTCTCACTCCTCCCACACCCCTCAGCATTCTCACATGTGACGGTACGTGGCTACAGAGTACTATGTACACTACGCACACTAACACGATCCGCATCCAAACGGCCTGCCTCATACAGCAAGCAGGGACGTAGACCCAGTGGGTCAGCGGGGGCCCAATGGGGCCTGGATTCCTCAGCAAAAGAACACGCCAATTCTCGACATTTGTGCATGTCACGAACGAATGCTGGCAACCCATTTGTGGTGAGACTTGCTTCGACGTTGCCCTACTCCGTACACAATTCAACAAAGTTGACCAAACTGAATACAATCCATTAGACACTCAATTCACCTCCAAATATACACCGTACTTATCATTCAAGAACATCATATGTTTCTCAAAACTTGTCAGGTGAAAGAGCAGCCAAGTCCGAACTTGAGACAGGATGTCTCGGCTGTACGAGAGAAATGGATCTGATCTTATCAATCACTGTAGATCACATCACATCACATGGGCTCAAAGCCCCCACGCATGTTCGCGGGGGAGATCACTACTATGGTATACACACACCTTGAATCCATATTAACTGAGGCAACGACTCGAAAAGTTGATCAGGGCAGCTATATGCTTGTAATTTATATTCTTTTGTTTGTTTGTTTCTTTCTTTTTTTTTTTCTTTTTTTTCTTTTTTTCTTTTAGGCCGGCGTCGACATTGCTGACGAGGCCTCGTCATCCTGTTCCCTTGTTGGCATCTCTGCCCGGTTATAGGCTTCATGGGTTACCTGAAGAGATCAACGTCCTGGGCATTCAAAGGTCCTGTTGATGAAACTTGAACAATCCTGCAAATGAGACTCAGTTCTTCAAAAAGTCACCTCACAGCGACCGCTAGCTACGTCTAGCCGGCCAAATTATACTTGGTAAACTTAGTCTTTGGCCGCAACTCGAACAATGATGTCGCCTCGTTTGTGACTTCTGTGCTTCGTGACTAGCAATGAGTTAGTCAAAAATATTCACCAATGAAAGGATCTCCACACGTGCTAGTAAGAGCCCGATGTACCGTGACCATGGATTAAGCATGAAGAACGTCAAAAGGCCTGTTCCGAATGCCGCTCAAGCTTGTCGAGCTCTCGTTCATGGTACATGCTCGTTGGAGCGATATATATCCTCATGCTCGCAGTTCTGCGGTCTATCTTGTATTCTGATCAAGTATATAAGGTCTAGAGCGGAGAGAACTGAGCCCTCCAACTTAGCAACGTGATCGACCCTTGACCATGTCTAATGGTGGTACTCGGCAACAAAGCATCCTAGAAAAGAGGTTTCGGTCGACATCTCCTGACTAGTTGGGCCTCGCGGTTTACCTCTTCCATGGTTTCTCTACCTTGCACTTCAAGATCTCGTCGACGAGGCTTAGATAAGACCTCGTGTCGGATCGACCTTGCCGTTCGTAACGTAAATGCCTACGGATACCTAGCAGCCGGGCCCTCGATTTCACAACCGCGGAACCAAACCGAAGGCCCAATCATTTGCACTGACCAAGTGCTCCTGGTTGATGGAGCCCACCACAAGAAAACCTCAGTAATGGGTGCTCCGTTGATCAACTTCAGTCGTAACTGCTCAGCTTCAGGGGGTTCTTCCAAATATCCGTAGGCCAATGTTAGGCATGTATAGAGTCTCATCGCTGGCAACATTCTCGGGACAGTACATGACACCGAGGAAGTGCGGTACTCATTGTCGTTATCCAAGCTGCCGTCTGACCTGGGATCAAAGCCAGACGCCATTTCGACATTGCCGCTGCGTGGCTTAGATATTTTTGTGTTGGCCCGTAGCTGCTCACGAATGGTACTGCAAGCAAGCGCAAGAAATGGACGAGACACGTCGTGACCTCGTTCTTGTCTCAAAGGCGCCAGCTTGTCTTCTGCACCCCGCTGGTGCCTATCTGCCCGACAGAGCAGTTGTTGCCTACCGCTGGTCACAAAAGCTCGTTGACCGCATGAGGCTACCCTTGCGTTCCCGTGGGGACAAGATAGCTACCTGGACAAGATCTTTGTTCAATGGAAAGATCCCATCGACTGACCAAGCGAGTCCGTAGAAGTCTTCCTCGTGAAATGACGTGGCCTTGTTGCGTACTTTTGACCATTGCCCAGAGGCGGGGTTTGGAGAATGCCATGTCCACGCCTCAGCTGCCTAGGCTAGCCAAGGGTTAAAACCTCTCGTCTAACCTCAGGCACTTCTGGCTATGGCCCCTCATCAATGTCGTTCATGAGAAATCATAAACGAGGAGACTCTCTTTTCCATCCTTGGCCTCCTTCAGCACGATGACCATTTCGTCATCGAAGCCCACCCAGTTACGTCGGTCGTCCCAGCGTTCTGTTGTCGCTTCAGGCGAGGGCAAAGCGATATCTGTGGGAGCAGAGCCCAAGGTTGATTTTGGCCTAATTTCGATACTTTTGCCACTGACGCGTCCCTCGAGTTCCCAGACTCGAATTTCCTCGCCTCGAGAGCTGACGCTCACGGCTTTGCCTCGTGCCGTGATTTCCGCATCGCTGATGCCTGATGTATGGCCCCAGAGACGAATGCCTGAAGAAAGATTAAGCTTCGTGGCATTTGATGTACAAATGTGTAGAATCATAGTGTTATCTGGCATCGTGGCCAAAAGATACGGGTGGCTGTAGCATAGCGTCGTCGGACCTTCGGGTATTTGTGTTTGAGACTGAAGCTGTGGGCTCGCAGTTGAGGAAGTC